TTCAAAATATAGATGGTTACAAATAGTATCCGAGCGATATTTCTTCTAATAAAATGTTGTTTGGGAATGAACTAAGGTGGAAGCTGATGGGCACCTGACACCCCAATAAATGAAGGATACATGAATGAACCAAGACCATATCCGAATGAGAGTGATACGGATGATAGGATGACTAAGAAATACTTAAAGAAAATGAAAGTCACTACTTATACCAACAAAATGCACATTTTTTCTTCGGTGGCTCAATCATAAGAACTTCATAGTTAAGCATGCTTTATTTAGAGAAATTTTATTATCTCGTGTAAGTGAGGACAAAGCATGCTAGAAGGACTTGTGTTGGTCTGTAGAGATAGTTTTCATTCTTAAGAAACGAGTAGTTAATGTGACCATGTCGTAGGAGAATGATGAGACTATGAAGCGCCGAATTCGAATTCCAACTTCTGCGTATGGGTCCATAGAAAGTGCCTAAAAACGTAGTTTTGGAAAACTCTTCGTTTCTTGGAATTTGATTATGAATTTCAATGTTTTTTTTAATGAAAACTTGTAATAAAGAAACGGTAAGAAAACACGCACGATTACCAATTTCAGAAAACGAAAAACGAAATTGTAGTACCAACCCGACATTGATATACAAAAATTTGTAAGATATGGTTCCTTGATTTGAATACCTTGCGAGGAAATTTGGTATGTGTCAACGAATATATACTTGGCATCAGTGAAATTAGCATTGAGGTCTTGAACAAGAGACCTAAGGCCAACGTTGAAGAGTTGAACAGCATCGTTGATTCTGTCCACACATGGAGATCCTTGGGTATCATAGGTAGCCGTTGCATAGGGAGTACACCCCAAAATCCCCACTCCAAAAACAGCAACCTTCCTAGCTCCTCGAGTATACAGAGTCTACAATATTCTCTTCACAAAATCATTAAAATTTTGAATAATCATGAAATGCATGGAAACATATTCATCTAACCATACAAAGCTTAATTTTCAACTACAACAAAAATGTTATCGAATGGCAAAAAAAAAAAAAAAAAAAAATGTTATCTAACCGTCTTCATTGACACACTATTCGGTGTCCACCTCTCTTTAGGGTTGAGCATTCTGCTGGCATACTTGTCTGACTCTGATATCATTTGTAACAACTCAAGCTCACTACTAGAACATATTGTACTCTTTAGGTTTTCCCTTCCGGATTTCCCCTGGTTTTAAAGTCCGAAAGGGAAAGCTCAAAGAGGACAATATCTGCTAACGGTGAGCTTGGACCGTTACAAATGGTATCAGAGTCAGACACCAAACGATGTGCCAACGAGGAGGCTATTCCCTGAAGGGGGTAGACACGAGGCGGTGTGTCAGTAAGGACGCTGAGCTCCAAAAGGGGGTGGATTCGGTGGGGGTCCCATATAGATTAGAGAAAGAAACGAGTGTCAGCGAAGACGCTAGACCCCATTTTTAGATCCTACAACGGTTGAGGAGGAGAACGGAACACCCTTTATAAAGGTGTGGAAACCCAAACACGTTTTAAAGCCTTGAGCGGAAACCCTGAACAATATATGCTAGTGGGTCTGGGTCGTTAAAGGAGAGGTTTCCACACCTTAATAAAAATGTTTAGTTCTCCTATCCAACCGATGTAGGATCTCACAAATACTATGTCACAAGCTTATTCTCAACTACATAAAATGTTATCAAATGGCTAAAGTAATGATCATACATCGTTTTTGTGAGATCGCACGTCAATTCGGGAGAAAAACAAAATATTTTTTTATAAGGGTGTAGAAACTCGCACATACGTTTTAAAACCTTGAAAGCATGAAAAAGAAAGTCAAAGAGGACAATATCTGGTAGCTGTGAGCTTGGGCGGTTATCTAAACACTTCCTAAATGACTTTGAAGGCAAAAAATGTCAATAACAATTAAAACCCAATTCTAAAATGATCGAGAATGCTTTAAAGACAATAAGATTTATAGAATAATGGAATGAGAGATTGATAATTAGGTCTAACCTTCATTTGTGAAGAGAGTTGTTTGATCAAGGCCAATGCATACTCTTCAGGAGAAAATAGGAGGCTAGTAGTATATGAAGGTGAGGAAAAGTAATTATTAAGGTAATCATTGGAACCCATCTCAACCATATATAAACATCTTTGGAGATATGTTCTTGTTGCACTTTCATTTCTCCCCAATAACCTATCAATTTTGGAAATTGTATACTCGTGATTCCTCAATTGTCGGTCCAAGCTTATCACCATACCCTACGAACATGAAACCAGATAACACATGGGTAGAATTTTAACCATAGAATACGACCCTAATCGAAATGCATACATTTGTTACACTATGGGGATAATGAAAAAATAGTTAATACTAATTTTAAAATTTCGTCCGTATTTTTTAAATATAGTATTAACCAAAATAATATTTTTGAATTTTTTAAAAAGTTAGAGGGTATAATGGAATTTTTTAAAGTTATAAGGTATTTTTGAAACAAAATATTAACGTTACCATTCAAAACTAACGATAAACGTACTTTTTAAACTTTTTTGAAAGCTTGCGAGTATTTTTGAAAGTTTAGAGGTATTAAATACCTTTGCTTGTCCAGTTTCTCTACGAATTCCCGCGGCTCCCGATGCATAATTTACACCTTGTAGACTCTCAGATCCTTGTGTATTCTTAGTCCTTGCAAAGGGTAGAATAGAACTTGCAAACCCCAAATTTTCACCTAGAAAAATGTTTTTGTGACACCCGAGTAAAAAAAAAGTTATATGAATGAACTGAGACGGCATCCAAATAAAAGAGCTCGTTTAAAAAAGGTTTAAAAGAATTGAAAGTCACTATCTATACCGACAAAATGTGCCTTTATTTTTAGTAACTCAATCATATAAACTCTACGGTTAAACGTGTTTAATTTAGAGCAACTTTGTAACGGCCCAAGTCCACTGCTAGCAGATATTGTTCTCTTTGGACTATTCCCTTCAAGATTTTAAAACGCATCTGCTATGGAGAGGTTTCCACACTCTTATAAAGAATGTTTCGTTCTCCTCCCCAATTGATGTGGGACATCACAATTCACCCCACTTCAGGGCCCAGCATCCTCGCTGGCACTCGTTCCTTTCTCCAATCGATGTGGGGCCAACGTCCTTACTGACCCACCGCTTTGTGTCTACCCTTCTTTGGGGAACAGCCTTCTCGCTGGCACATTGCCCAGTGTCTGGCTTTGATACCATTTATGACGACCCAAGTTCACCGCTAGCAAATATTGTCATTTTTGGACTTTCCCTCTCGGGATTTCTCTCAAGCCTTTAAAATGCATCTGCTAGGGAGAGGTTTCCACACCCTTATAAACGATATTTCATTCTCCTCCTCAACCGATACAGGACATCACAAATTTTATGTTGGGTGACCTCTTAAGAATTTTCTTGGGATGCATGTGAGCGAGAACAAAACATGCTGAAAGAACTCGTATTGGTCCGTGAGTATAGTTTTCACTCTTATGAAGCGAGGAGTAGGCAACTTGACCATATTGCAGAGGATGTCGGGGCTATTAAATGTCGAATCCTGATCCAAATCCTGGATGTGGGTCATTACAGTTTTGTTTGTTTTTACTCTCACATGTATTTTAAGAAAATTTCTAAGAGTGTTTGTTTTTACTCTCACATGTATTTTAAGAAAATTTCTAAGAGGTCACTTGACCTAAAATTACTTCAAGCTAATCACAGTTTAATTTTGATGTTTCTATTATTTAGTCACTAAAAAAGGATGTGCACCTCATTAGTATAAGTAGAAACTATCGATTAGGAATAAAAAAATTGTCGTCTTTAGGCTTTCTTTTCAGGCTTCCCCTCACGCGTCTACTAGTGAAAGATTTCCACATCCTTATAGAGGGTTTTTCGTTCTCCTCCCAACCAATGTGGGATATCAAAATCCACCTCCATTTAGTCTTTATAGGGGTCTACTAATGAAAAGTTTCCACATTCTTATAGAGGGTTTTTCGTTCTCCTCCCCAACCAATGTGGGATATCAAAATCCACCTCCATTTAGGACCCAACGTCCTCGCTGGCACTCGTTCCTTTTTTCAATCCATGTGGGACCCCCACCAAATCCACCCCTTTCGGGGCCTAGCGTTCTTATTGGCACACCGCCTCATGTCCAAATCCACTCCCTTCAGGGCCCAGCGTCCTTCTCCTCTCCAACCAATGTGGGATATCAAAATCCACATCCATTCAGGCCCTAGCATCCTTACTGGCACACCGCCTCATGTCTACCCTCTTCGGGGAATAGCTTCCTCGCTGGCACATAGTCTAGTGTCCAGCTCTGATACCATTTGTAACAACCTAGGCTTAGCGCTAGCAGATATTGTTCTCTTTGGGCTTTCCCTTTCAAGCTTCCCCTCAAAGCTTTAAAACGCGTACTAGAGAAAGGTTTCCACACCCTCATATAGGGGGTTTCGTTCTCCTCCCCAACCAATATGGGATATCACATATATAATTTATATAATTTAGCTTAAAACGCTCAAAGCTTGTAAAAACAAAACAAAAAATGATTACGAAACGGGTCGTCAAGTTTTCAAGTACAAGGGAAGAACAACAAACCAATGAAATCAACAAGGTTTCGACCATTGCTAAATCTTCCCGTAGGACCTTGTGGAAAGTCGATGCCATAAGGCATATAATTTGCTTTTGCGCGAGTTACAAGATCATTGTTATTTCCATTGTCGGACAACGAGTCACCAAAGATGAAGAAACAAGGAACTTGAGGCTCTCCAACGACCAAATATTGAGTTTGCAAGTTTAAGAGAACATAAACCACAAAGAAAGACTTGAATTGGAAGAACTTCATGTTTAAGTGAAGAAAAAAAATGAATGTATAAATGAAAGGAGAGAAAATGTGGGTTTTATAGAACATAATGTGAATCAAGGGTTAAACTTATTTATTGTGAATTAGCTAGGGTTCGGCTTCATTTTAATTTTGTTATGTTAGTCAAATGTAGACCCGTCTTTTCTCTTAATGAACTAAAGCGTGGGCTCATTAGGGCGTAAAGACCTTTGCTTGATCTCACGTCGATCGGAGGGGAGAATTGCTTGATCCCACGTAGATATTATGTTTGATATACTTGATGGCTTTATGATGAATATGATGTTTGCATGACGTTTTGCTTAATATGATGATGTTTTCCATATTGAGTATGTTATATGATGATGAGTGTCATATTGCATCATGTCGCTAGATCGACCTAGGAACAACCCTAAAAGCATGAAAACGATATTAATATAAATATCCACGAGCATGTTTTACTTAATGTAACAAAGAGATGAGACTAGAGGATTGTGTCAGACATTATGATGGGATTTAGAGGAACCTCATGTATGTTGTATGTTCATAAGCATAGGGCTACTTTCCCAAGGATGATGAGTGCAGACGCGCACAGTATGATGATAGGGGTTTTCATGAGGCGCATGACACTAGGGGTTCCGCTTACCTCCGAACGTCGCTACAGATTAGTGACCATAAAGGGTCCAGGGGGTGTGCGAACCTACCTAAGGATTGTCACTCGTACATGTGGGTTGTGTGTAGGGAAGTACTACACATCCATAGTTGTCCAAGACTGGAGGCCACTCCTAGATGAGATAGAGATAGGTTTCAAGAGCATGATTGCAGATGTTTACATTTGCATGGCCCCCTATGGTGGGGTCACTTACCGAGTATTCTTCTAAATACTCATGCTGTGTACCACATCATTTTTTAAGTAAAGGTAAGACGCACATATACAAATGGTTGGATTGAATTGGGTTCATAAGTGTACAAATACGACCTCGACCCAACCCATGCTTAAAATGCTAAATTTAGTACGTCCAAGGTCTTATCTATGGCCCTTTCCTAATTAATTTTGAAATTTATGACTTTTCTTGCTTAACCGTTCAAAAGTAAATAAGTTGTACTCTTATGGACTCATAAATTTAATGTAATTCATTAATTTTTCTTTAATATAATTTTTTTGTCACGAAAAATTTAAATATTTAACCTCACATATTTTTTATATTGACTTTAGTATCGGGTAGAATTAATTAATTTAGTATCCATATAATTAGAGATGATCATTTAATTCACGAGGTCAGGGTTTCGAGGGGGGCCGCTTTAAATGGAGCAAGGCATCCCGTTTAAACACAAAATGATAGAGGAAACGGGAAGAGATTTCTTAACATTAATTAACGACGCAAAGACGGTTGACCCTATTTTCTGTCACGTCCTGCTTATATATAAATATAAATGTCTATTATATATGTTTTGTGTATTGAAGACTGTTATAATATTGAAATTTGAATTTTTTTTTTAAATTATGTTGATTGTAACGACCTAAGCCCACCGGTAACAGGTATTGTACTATTTGAACTGTCCTATGGGTCCGGCTTCCCAGGGAGGCTTTAAAGAGCATTTGCTAGGGAGAGGTTTTCACTCCCTTCTAAAGTGTTTCGTTCTCTTTTCCAACCGAACATCACATTGATAGAATATTATATTATATTTTACTGGTAAAATATTATTGAATTTATTATTTTCTGTTTTTAATTAAAGCTATCTTGAAAAAAAGAAAATTATTTATTAAAAATTACTTTAAATTGAATAATTTTTTACAAATATATATATATATATATATTGGCGGCCCCGGCCCTTGTAACGAGGTCAACTCGTACGTGCTTTTTCCTTTCGTTTAGCGAGATAGCTTACCAGCTCTTTCAGCTCATAGTAGCAGTATGAAAAACGGAATCCTCATCCTGAGCTGAGTACGCATTGGTATACGAATCGACATTGCAGACTCGACATCGGCCAAACCAAGAGCTCCTATTTTTTCTTTAACAAAAGCGGATCTAACAGTTTCGATAAAACCAACCTCTTTTAAAAGGAGTTGCTCTGTCTTGATCACCGTGGACATACGCAGCTCTCGCTTTACCTTCGCCTACCGTGAAAGGGAAAGTTCCCTCACGATAGGCCCTCCCAGCTCCCGAACGTCTTTCTATCCATCGATAGAGGTACAGAATAGTACAACAAACCAACAAGACAAGAATGAACTCATAGGATGGATGGTCAGGGAAGCATTTTCATTTGTACATATATAGATATATATAGATATATATACAATTCTTCCTCGGAAATCCAATCTTCACGAATGTTATACTAATAATTCTCGCCCAAATCTCTATAAAAATAAATGAAGACTTTGTTAAGATGAGTGTGAGGTTCACATCGGTTGAAGAGGGGAACAAAGTATATTTTATATAGACGTAGAATACTCTCCCAAACAGATGCGTTTTAAAACTATGAAGTTAACGACGGTACGTAACGAGTCAAAACAGACAATATCTGCTGTTACAGAACTATTGATAAGAAGCATATTTTTTATTATGTTTGATGTTAATTCATACAAAATAACCGTATTTACTTTTCGTAGTAAAACCGAACATTTTAGTCGAGTTTATAATTTTTAACTAATTGAATTATATTAGGTTTGATTTAGTGTTCGAATAAAAATGTTTATTGACAAATTAAAATAAAAAGTCAAACAAAAATAGTAATTTTTTTTTTTCAGTAATTGATAAAGAAATTAAATGAAAGTTTTCCAAACAAAGTAATGTATTCTTGAGAATTAGTTGGGTTTAGAGATGTCGGTTGACTGAGTCTTTTCCATTTCCATCTTTGCCCCTACTTCATTCCCTATCAATACGGAAATCTCCCTTTATTTTTGTGAGAATTGAGATAGGGATTTTTTTTTTTATTTTTTTTTTATTTTGATGTGTTTTAAAGCCCGAGAGGAAGCTCGGAATGGAAAGTCTAAAGAGGATAATATTTGCTAACGATGAATATAGGCTATTACAAATGATATTAGAGCCTGACACCGGAATATGCATCAGCGAGGAGACTGTTCTTCAATGGGGTAGACACGAGACAGTGTGCCAATAAGACGTTGGGTCCCAAAGGAGGCGGTTTCTCAAAGGCGTAGATACGAGATAGCGTGTTAGCAAGGATGCTGGGCCCAGAAAGAGAGTGGATTGTGATGTCTCATATTAGTTAGAGAGAAGAACAAAACACCCTTTATAAGGGTTCAGATTAATATTTGCATCAATATCTCCCGGCGGTGGCGGTGGCTCGCGTAGATACGAGATAGGGTGTTAGCAAGGATGCTGGGCCCAGAAAGAGAGTGGATTGTGATGTTTCATATTAGTTAGAGAGAAGAACAAAACACCCTTTATAAGGGTTCAGATTAATATTTGCATCAATATCTCCCGGCGGTGGCGGTGGCTCTCGAGATAGAATTCACCATAAAAGTCAAATAGCAATCAATATCATCAACCACATTTCCATTCATAAACATTATTCCCAATATATTTGTAACTATCCAATCTCATTGCTAGCAGATATTGTCCTCTTTGTGATTTTCCTTTCGAGTTTTTCATGAAGGTTTTTAAAACGTGTCCTGTTGTCTTCTTTGAGCTTTTGCTTTCGAGTTTCTCATCAAGGTTTTTAAAATGTGTCTTGTTAGGAAGAGGTTTTCATACCTTTATAAGGAGTGCTTCTTTCCCCTCTCCAACCAATATGGGACCTCACAACTCACCCCTTTAGAGATTCAACGAGGAGGCTGAGCCCCGAAGGGGTTGGATTAGGGGGTTCCACATCGATTGGAGAAGAGAATGAGTGCCAGCAAGGACGCTGGACCTTGAAAGGAGGTGGATTGTGAGATCACATATCAATTAGGGAGGAGAACGAAACATATTTTATAAAGGTATGGAAACCTCTCCTAACAGACGCGTTTTAAAAACCTTGAGAGAAACCGAAAGGGAAAACCCAAAAAGGACAATATTTAGTAGTGGTGAGCTTGAACTATTACCATACTAATATAATTTCATTAACCCAAAAGATATAATTTTATGCTCGTTCTTTCCATATGTTACATCTTTACATATGATTGAACTAATACTACATGAACTCTAGCAAGCCAGGTTCAAAACTAGTTAAACCCGAAATTGAGTGTTTACCCTACCAAGCTTACGCCAATATCCGTTTTACCAATGTCAAATTGGTCTAAATAGAGTTAGAAGGAGACGTCCACGCGGCAAACATCTCCAAGTCTATTAAGTCCCTAACGTTTTCATTTTGTAGAGGCCTCTCGAGTTTAATCCAAACAAACATCATCATGTCGTTCTAGATTTTTTATAAGCGTTTCAAAACGATCTTTGAAGTTGAATCATCGTTAAAACATTTAAAAAAAAAAATCAACACGTTAAGATATCATTCATTTGTCGTTCTGTGTCATCACCAAATTGATTTTCTATTCAATTTTTTTAAGAATTTCTGTGTTATTTTTTAAATATGATACTAATGGTTCTGTCCATGATAATATCTTTTGAAAAGAACTTAAAGGGCCGTTTGATAAAAAGTTTTATTGAAAATAAGATATTTGAGAAATAGGATACCTAATAATCAAATAAATATTATCACAATTTCAGGTAAATAAATAATATTTATATTTAAAAATTTTACCCAATTAATTTTTGCGAATTATTTTATTTTATTAAAATAATTTTAATAAATTAAATTTTCATTCATAAATATACTCACTACTAAGTATATTACTAATAATTATAAGAAAATTCAATCATGATTTAATAATAAAAAAATTCAAATATACCAAATTGAAATTGAAGTTAAAAAAAAAGGAAATAATTATTAAAAAAAAATTCTGGCAAGATGTGGTTTTAAGAATATTAATAAAAAAATTTACAAATTCAAAAATATTTTTTAAAAAAATTAATTATATTTCTTAAATAGATAATAACGACTCTTGTCAGTAAAAATATTTTTTATTTTAAAATTAAATTTAAATTTTGAAAATATATTTTTTAAAATAAAAGTTAATTAGTATTTTAAAAAATAAATGAGATGGGATACAGCAAAAGTTGTGTGGAATCAACCACACGAGATTGCGCTTAAAATAATTCAAAAAAGACGCCTCTGAAAAGCGTGGAGGTGGCGACATGCAGAGAGAGGTAGAAGCCAAATCGTTTCAATCGTAGTACTCGAACTTTGGAGCGGCAAGTATTCCAAAAGGATTCTCTCCATAAAATTCCCAATTTTCCAACGAAATTGGGGGATTAATTTAACTTTTTTTTTATTTTTTTATTTTTATAGTTTATGATGAAATCTAGCGGTTTGATTTTCATCACGATCGCGTTGGTTTTCGTTCTAAATCGAGTGTTAGCAGCTTCTTCTTCATCTGAATCGCAGTCCTCCGACGAAGCTTATGTTACGCTTTTGTATGGCGATGAGTTTCTTTTGGGGGTTCGAGTTCTTGGTAAATCGATTCGCGATACTGGGTCCAACAGGGACATGGTGGCCTTGGTTTCTGATGGCGTTTCTGAGTATGCTACGAAGCTATTAGAGGTCAGGGAATAGTTTTCTCTATGTTTCCTAGAAAATTTGAGCTATTAGAACAGCTTATATGATGGATACTTTCTGCTTATTTCTGTCTTGCTTTAAGTTAGATTTGTTGGCTATTTTCGAATTTCATCCTATATGTTGATTTAGTCTGAATGTGTGTGGTTGTTTATGAAATTAGAGTAATTAGTAATCTTTCAATTGGAGATATCCCACGATGGTTGGGGAGGAGAACGGAACACCCTTAGCAAGGACATTGGGCCTTGAAGGGGGTGGATTGTGATATCCCACATTGGTTGGGGAAGGAGAACGAAATATCCTCGATAAGGTGTGGAAACCTCTCCCTAGCAGACGCGTTTTAAAGCCTTGAGGGGAAGCCCGAAAGGGAAAGTCCAAAGAGGACAATATTTGCTAGCGGTGGGCCTGGGCCGTTACAAATGATATTAGAGCTAGACACTGGGCGATGTGCCAGCAAGGAGGCGGTTGCCTGAATGGGGTAGACACGTGGTGGTGTGCTAGTAAGGACTCTGGGCCCCAAAGGGGGTGGATTTGGTGGGGATCCCACATCGATTGGAGAATGGAACAAGTGCAACAAGGACGCCAGGCCCTGAGGAGGGGTGGATTGTGATATCCCACACTGGTTGGGGAGGAGAACGTAACACCCTTAGCAAGGACGCTGGGCCTTGAATGGGAGTGGATTGTGATATCCCTCATTGGTTGGGAAGGAGAACGCAACACCCTTTATAAGGGTGTGGAAACCTTTCCCTAGCAGACGCGTTTTAAAGCCTTGAGGGGAAGCCCGAAAGGGAAAGCCCAAAGAGGACAATATCTGCTAGTGGCGAGCCTAAACTGTTACACAAGGGAGTTTTCTTAAGCTCTTTTCCCCCTAATTGCAGAGAATTTAATCTAAATCCGTGGTTGGAATGTCTGCAATTAGAATTTTATGAGGTTTTGAACAATCAAATGTTGTATTGACTAGTTGATGTGTGGGCAAGTTGGTCCTAACACTCATGACTCATAGATATCAAGTGGAAAAAAGTTAAGACAATTGAAACTTGGAAAATTAGTGTCTCAAAATGAATCCTTAATCCCATTTGTTATGATTTTCTTTTGGAAGTTCATGTATGTATGTGCGTTTATGTTTTGCTGCTTATATAATTGTGCAGGCTGATGGGTGGATAGTGGAGAGGATTAGTTTATTGGAAAATCCTAATCAAGTTCGTCCATCGAGGTTTTGGGGCGTCTATACGAAGCTGAAAATATTTAACATGACCGACTATAGAAAGGGTAAAATTTGTGTTCTTATTGTACAGATTGTACAAAATATGTAGTGTTTCTTCCAATTATGTGGGGATTTTTGTTGGATAGTTCATTTTACTTTGTGTGTGTATACGACCTTTTCAAAGCAGTGTTTGGATGCTTTTTGTTTACTCTCTATTACACTATTGTGCAGTGGTATATCTTGACGCAGATACAATTGTGGTGAAAAATATTGATGATCTTTTCAAATGTATCAAATTCTGTGCGAACTTGAAGCATTCTGAAAGGCTGAATTCTGGCGTTATGGTTGTCGAACCGTCTGAAGCTATTTTCAACGACATGATGAGCAAAGTTAGGACTTTGCCGTCTTACACCGGAGGTAGATGATCCTGTTGTAAAATCTTACCTATACTTTTTGCTTGCTTTTATGTGGACTATGTAGAAGTCTCAAACTTTGATGAACACCTTGGTTTTAATTTAACAGGGGATCAAGGCTTTTTGAACTCGTATTATTCTAATTTTCCTAATGCACACGTTTTTGAGCCAAATCTGTCACCGGAAGTGCTACGTTCCAGACCAGCTCCTGAAATGGAGCGACTCTCTACTCTTTATAATGCGGATGTTGGCCTTTACATGCTTGCTAACAAGGTACATCTACTGACAGTTTTAGTGGCTTTTATTTATGTGATGTCCCACATTGGTTGGGGAGGAGAACATATCACCATTTATAAGGGTATGGAAACCTTCCCCTAGCAGATGCGTTTTAAAGCCTTGAGGGGAAGCCCGAAAGGGAAAGCTTAAAGATGACAATATCTGCTGGCGGTGGATCTAGGTCGTTACAAATGGTATCAGAGTCAAACACCGGACGATGTGCCAGTTTTCTCGCTGTTCCCCGTAGGGGGGTAGACACGAGGCAGTGTGCCAGTAAGGATGCTGGGCCCCACAGGGGGGTGGATTTGGGGGTGGTCCCACATCGATTGGAGGAAGGAAAGAGTGCTAGTGAGGACGCTGGGCCCCAAAGGGGGGTGGATTGTGATGTCTCACATTGGTTGGGGAGGAGAACAAATCACCATTTATAAGGGTGTGGAAACCTTCCCCTAACAGACGCGTTTTAAAACCTTGAGGGGAAAACCGAAAGGGAAAGCCCAAAGAGGACAATATCTGCTAGCGGTGGATCTGGGTCGTTACAATTGAATTGAGTATATCTATATGAATTCTCATTCGTCTCAGATGATGCTCATTACCTCCTTTCGGTGTATTTTCCTTTTCAATGTTATTTATGCCTTAAATTTAAGGTTCTTCGCCTTCTCCCTAAAGGGAGGCCAAGATATGTCATTGGCAAGTTCTCCTAAGGGAGAAAGTTGTAGTCATCAACTCCACGTAATTGATTTGATAAGTTATAGCTACTATAATGTGTTAGCCTAGTGGTCTTATGGGGAAGTTCAAGAACTAAATGTTATTTATTTATTTTATGAGAAATTAATTTTGTTCTTGATCAAATGTAGTAAAAAATGCATTCGAAAACACTCCCCGATTAGCACAAATTAATGAAAGACCGTAATTACAAAACATATGCAAAAAAATCAGGGGTAGAGCAGAGAAGTTTAATACCATAGAAAGTCGGTACAAGATCTCTCTGTACGGTAGATAATATGTAAACAACCGTACACCCCACCATATGGCAAAACCTCCACACCTACAACAAAGTTAGTAGTTGCACTATGATTTCAAGCCCACCTAAACCAGTAGGTCCTTGAGCGGATTCAACGTTAGCTCCAAGATGTTGGTCTCTAACTAGAAACGTAAGAGCTTGAGAAGCTTCGGGTCCAGTCAGCCCGTAAAACTCACTCGGATAAGCAGTATTATTGAACGAGACAAAACAACAAGCAATAAAACAAAAAACGGATAAAGCACCTAAACTATAAGACAAGTAAGCTTCTCCAGACATTACAAGTGCGCGGCCAGACCATGCAAACGGTCTTTCACTAAGATTTCGAATAGCTGTCCTGAATTCAAGTTGATTATGTTTTGCCTCTTCCTCGGAGAAAGACGATCAAATAATTCCCAATCATGGTCCTTGCGGATCTGATCATCCATATAATATACAAAAAGAAACTCCAGATATTTGATATTTTTCTCTTTGAATGAGATCTCAATTCCAACGACGGTTTCATTAGATATCTTACAACTGGAATCCCTCTTTTTTCCGATCCAGTTCCTCCACCACCGCGAACCCCAGTTAGATTCAGGCATGATACACTTTTTAGTTATTGGGAGAACCACTTACCAGATCCCTACGCTATCACCGTAGATCTCTCTCTATCTCTCTCTAATGTTACACTGCAAGCTTCTGAGGTCGGGTATAAAGAATATTGGTCGGCTAAATTTAAAAGTTCCTCGTATGGATTACAAATGCATATTGGAGGCAATTCATGGGGTTTTGATTTCAAATTGAAAGAAAGGAGACACTTCATTTCTTTCTGTAATAGAAGCAATTGTATAGAACATATCCTGTACTACGTGGAAAATCTTGGTAAAGAAGTGTAAAAAATGCATGGATGAACAGGGTATCATCCTGTTAAAAGGGGGATTAAGGTAAAAAAAAAACTAAAGGTGAACTCTTAAAATGATTTCTTATATTTGTGGTTGGAAGTGAACTCTCTAATTTCTATGTAAATACCTACAATCTATTTGAGCATTATGCATATTTCTGCAGTGGATGGTAGACGAAAGCGAACTGCGAGTTATCCACTACACCCTGGGGCCCCTCAAACCATGGGACTGGTGGACGTCTTGGCTCTTAAAGCCTGTTGATATCTGGCAGGTATCCTCTTGAATTTTATTTCTAGTTTCTTCTATTCCTTTGTTGCTTGTGTACGTGCACTGTTTATCATGTATCATAGCGTCACACATTTGCAAGCATTCACTTCAATTATCCTTCCCACATGAACAGTGCGCACGAGTCAGGCAACTTGATTTTTGACTATTGAAATAGTTAATCTTGTTATAGGAGTGAAATATTTTGTGCCACTTATAAGCTTTTCTTTTGTTTGCTGGTTGTAGAATGTCAGGGAAAGGCTGGAAGACTCCCTTCCTGGAACTGGTAGGGGTAGAAATCCTTATGATGATATTATTGTCAAAATTCTTGCCCTTCTTCCTCTTGTTGCGTTGATCGCCTGTAATTATGAATCTTGTATTCAGGTAAGCAATATGGTAAAATATCTTTGAATTGTAATTACAAGGACATGATTAGTCATATTTTGGATCTAAATGGTTTCGTATTTTTGTCACAGACACGGTGGTACTGTAGTACATCATGGAGAAGCGTGTTATGCGACCAAGCCAGGCAACTTTACTACAAAATAAAGTCTGTTGGAACTGTTAATTATACTGGTCTTTCTTCACTCAATACTGTTAATTTGAACCGTCAGGTGAGTTTCCTCTTTTTGGCTCTCTAATATTAGTAGCATGTTACTATTATAACATTCGTTTCAAAGTCATGAGTTGTGTATTACATTTTATTTCATTTGTTTGAAGTTTATACCTTGTTTTACTTACGAGTTCCTGCAATGACGTGCAGTTCAAGATACCTGTTTATTTAGGTGGAATATCAATCTTTGTCTGTTTCATCGCTGCTTTAACTGCCATAGCCCTTGCATTTGTGATTGTACCGAGCCAAGTGACGCCATGGACTGGCTTGCTGTTGATGTATGAATGGATATTCACAATTTTCAATCTGTTATTTGGAGGCTATCTCCATTTTATATACAAATGGGGAAAATCAATGGCAACACAAGCAGGATCCCTCTCCTCTGATTCTGAGTCCTTAGATTATTCTGCTAAAGGTTTGCTTGAACACTTCGCAGCTTTTCTCAATTTCTAATATGAGTATCTGCAACCAAACAAATATTGTTGTTACGTGATTTCTAAGTTGTTGATTTATCTTCTTTATTAGATCATCAGTGGCAGGCACCGAGCTGTGACGTTACCACATGGTTTTATGTTCTAGGAATGGCAATCTTGGCTGTTGTTGCTCCAACTTTGCCTTGTATTTTGGGTATTACTGCTCTGTTTTTGAGGTAATTTACTCGGCTCTTTATTGCCACAAACAGTAACAATATTCAGAATCTACTGGTCTTTGAAAATTTACTCCTACATTTCGCCGGTCGTATCATTTATTTGCGTTTTCCCATAATGTAGACGAAACCTGGATAAGACTATTAACACCATGACATACATGAAAGCTGTCATGTCTGCCCTTTTGGTTTCGGAGCTTTTAACAATTCTTTTTAAAATTCATAAACTTTCAATGTTGTATGCAACATTACTGTCATATGCTTCCTCGGCAAGTTGACTGTATTATAGCTGGTGTTCTGATGATTTTTGTGATGTCCCACGTTGGTTGGGGAGGAGAACAAAACATCCTTTATAATAAGGGTGTGGAAACCTTCCCCTAGTAGACGTGTTTTAAACCCTTGAGAGGAAGCCCGAAAGGGAAAGCCCAAAGAGAACAATATCGGCTAGTGGTGGATCTAGGGCGATACAAATGGTATCAGAGCCAGACACCGGACGATATGTCAGCCTTCTCGCTATTTCTCGAAAAGGGTAGACACGAGGCAGTGTTCCAGTAAGGACACTGGGCCCCAAAGGGGGGTAGATTTGGTGGGGGTCCCACATTGATTGGAGAAAGGAACGAGTGCCAACGAGGACTCTGGGCCTCGAAGGGGGGGTGGATTGTGATATCTCACATTGGTTGGGGAGGAGAACCAAACATCCTTTATAAGGGTGAGGAAACCTTCCCCTAGTAGACGCGTTTTAAAGCCTTGAGGGGAAGCCCGAAAGGGAAAGCCCAAAGAGGACAATATCTGCTAGCGTTGGATATGATGCATTACAATTTTCCTTTAACTGCAACTTCTATATCTACAATTACCCTCATTACTGCTTCCACAATAGATATTTTGATGGTATTGGGGAACCTGTTGCATGTGCCATCATGCCTAAAAGTTATTATTTCTGTGTCGTCATCCCAAAAACAATCAAATCGTATTTCATGTACCTGTGTTTTTCCTTTCCTTTCCTTTGACAGGTTAGGTTTGATGGTTGTAGGAGGGCTAGTCTTGGTAGCTTTTATGACATACGCTTCTGAACATCTTGCAATAATATCATTTTTGAGAGGTCTTGAAAGCAGAGATGGTGTAAGAGGCAGCAGAGGTATGTGTTTCTTGTGTTGATGATTTGTTTAAGTAGGAGCAGTGCTGTGAAATAGAAAATTTTCTTGTATTTACTTTCAGGTCTCATATCATTCATTGTACAACTCTAAAAACTAGCTTCTGAAGTTTTTTTCCCCTCTTTTTAGCCTGTGAGACCATTCTATTAGAAAGGTTAAGTAAATTATGGTTATTTAATTCGTTTGATGGTGCAGACAAGTCTATGTTGAAATGAGAAATCTTCAAATTTTGTTACATTTCCTCTTAATCGGTTAAGAATGAGAAGCTTTGATACCATGTCAAGAATGAGAAGTTCGGATAGTTCTTCCTCTTCTCCTGCTCTGATAGCTCTTCGCTCTGATATTCTTCCTCTTCTCCTACTCTGATGTCATGTTAAGAATGATAAGCTCTAACATCATGTTAAGAATGATAAGCTCTGATACCATGTTAAGAATGATAATACCTGATACCATGTTAAGAATGATAATATAAGAAAATTGGACTTTCGATCCTACTTTCTTGGACTTTCAATCCCACTTTTGTTTCTCATTCTTAATATTCTTACTATGGTATCACAGCATTTTTTTTTTTTTTTTTTTTTTTTTTTTTTTTTTTTTTTTTTTTTTTTTTTTTTTTTTTTTTTTTTTTTTTTTTTTTTTTTTTTTTTTAAGATTTTTAGTAACATCCTGACAATTTGTTTGGTCAAGCTATATACAGCAATAAGAAGGAAAAGGATTGAATTCTTTAGGTTATACAACAAAAAGATGTCTTAGAACAAGAACAGAGAAGCAAGGCTATTTTAAAGCATGCCTAACATGTGTCTTCTAAGCATAGAGGTTGTCTTGCTCCATCCAAATATGTCCAAATATGTCCTTTTAAGATACCTTTTGAATTATGTAAGGTTGTAAAGCTAGTTTACAAAGCTCGGAAGTTTGCAAGTTTAATATGTGGACGCGTTTTAAAATCGTGAAAATGATGGCGATACGTAACAGGTCAAAGCGGACAATATATGTTGGTATGGGCTTGGGCTGTTACAAATGGTATTAGAACAAAACATTGAGTGGTGTGGCAACGAGGATGTTGAGCCTCAATGGGGTAGAAGTGGTGTGGCAACGAGGACGTTGAGCCTCAAGGGGGTAGATTATAAGATCCCATGTTGGTTAGAGATGAGAACGAAGCATTCCTTATAAGGGTGTGAAAACTTCTCCCAAGTAAACACGTTTTAAAACGTGTGGCTAACGGTGATATGTAATGGATAAAAGCGGACAATATTAACTCATGGTGGGTTTGGGAGGTTACATTTAACTTTATGCTATCTTCTTAGAAAACCACAAACGAGATTGTAATGAACATCATACAGAATGAAATGATTCTCAATGAAACTACTAATATTAACAAGATTTTATAGATATTCTCTTATTCATTTTCACATATTTTGACGATAAGATGTGACAAATAGATGTTTAAGTTTCCCGGCTATTAAATTAAAGTTTAGGAGATGCACAATTTGGTCCTAAAATCTTAGTAGTAGGCAATCTTGAGTATGTTATAAGGCACACGACTTTCTCAATCAAAAAGTTCCTAATGGATCGAAAAATTACTTTAACAATAATAATACTCCAAAAAATTTCAAACAAACCTAAAACCATGAAAAAAAAAAAGGAGGGATATAGAAAGAAAATATATTTCATTCAAGAAATTTTAGAAAAGGGAGATCCAATTGTCACAAAATTGGCGTATGATTAGGTGGAAACTAAGCTCATTAATTGAGTTCGTTATGTCAACTGAATCAGCTATAATAGAGAGTCATTTCATTTATCCTAGCATACTCGGTCTTGTATGTAAGAAAGTGGGGATATATTATGTGGAGTTGATCACTTTTGCAATAGCTTTTGAAACGGAAGAAGACCGACTAATTTGAGGAAACAAGTAACAACGATTATGATGAGAAGCAAGGGACAGAGACGTCCAAATTGTGGGGTGCGGATGAGGAAGCTTTGTCCATCCCTGTCTGTCTATCTCTGCCTCTTTCTAATCTTCGTCTCCATAGAAATTTTTATTTACATTTATTTCAAAAAAAATTAATAGATAATTTACCTTTTCCATCTAATTTCTAAATATAAAACGTCTTAATATATCCAATAATATTATATATATATATAATACAAGGGTTAGCATAATTTTCAAAATTTGAATTTTAATATTACAATAGTTTTTTACCCTTAAAAATATATATACACAAAAGCAAGTGAATAAATAAATAAATATTTATAACAAATTAGTTTTGTTCCTCAATTTTTGTTATACTTATATTTATACATATAAATAGAGGCAAAGCAAGGTGGTGAAAGGATTTGGATGAGAATGAGGATTGGGATCAAGGTGGGAAATATGATATCCATCTTCGTCTACATTTAGCTAACAGAGAGAAATCTCTCTTCACTCCGTCCTCCATTCTCTGTTTGAATGGATATTTTCTATCTCATTCGAGGCAGATTCTCTTAAGATTCTAATCCCATAGGTTAAATTGGGTTATTAATACAAATGCTACCAAACGACCCAAAGAAGTAACCCCTTAAGTTTTGGGATCTAACCCATGTTAGGTTCTTAATTTAATTTGTAGTTAGTTAAGTGGAGAAGAAAGTAAAGCTCTTGTTGCATCTTCTCCCTTAAAATTATGCAAGCCTCTCCATAATTGAGTCTATTCAACCATAATATGGACCCTCAATTTGTAAAAAAAAGTCTTTGGGGTTTCTATCTAGGTTAAGAAAGTAAAGCATTATGGTCAATCATCACTAAGCTATACCCTCACTTGAATTTTTGGGGTTTTGTTAAAAAAGTAAAGTATTATGGTCGGAATTAAGAAAGAAAGTATTATGGTCGTCTTGCGTTGGAAAAGAAAAGGGCCCAACCGAGTTTTGGGGTTTGGTTAAGAAAGTAAAGTAATATGGTTGAAGTTAAGAAAGAAAGCATTATGGTTGCTTGAGTTGGAAAAGAAAAGGGTCCAACCGAGTTCAAACAGGTGACCTCTTGATTGCAGTCAAATGCTCGGGTTTCTGTATTAAGAAAGCAAGGCATTATGGTCGATCAAGAAAGTGGTTGGAAAAGAAAAGGGCTCAACAAAATTTGAATGGGTGACCTCTTGATTTGTAGTCAAATACTCTAGTGGTAATGAACCCTCAATTGCTAAAAAAATTCTTTGGGGTTTCTGTCTGGGTTAAGAAAGCAAAATATTATGGTCGATCATGAAAGAGGGTTGGAAAAAAAAGGACCCACAAAACATTATGGTCGATCAAGAAACAGGGTTGGAAAAGCAAAGGACCAAACCAGGTTCGACTTGGTGACCTCTTGATTTGTAGTCAAATGCTCTACCATTGAGCTATGCACCCTCAATTGCTAAAAAATTCTTTGAGGTTAAGAAAGCAAAGCATTATGGTCGATCAAGAAAGGGGATTGGAAAAGAAAAGGGTCCAACAAAGTTCAAACTGGAGGGCTCAAAAGCAAAGCATTATGGTCGATCAAGAAAGGGGGTTGGAAAAGAAAAGGGCCCAACAAGATTCAAACTGAAGGGCCAACCAGGTTCAAACTAGTGACCTCTTGATTGCAATCAAATACTCTACCACTAAGCTATAGACCCTCAATTGCCAAAAAAATTCTTTGGGACTTGGGGTTTCTGTTTGGGTTAAGAAAGCATTAAACGAGGTTGGAAAAGAAAAGGATATTGACCCTCAATTGCCAAAAAAATTCTTTGGGGCTTAGAGTTTCTGTTTGGGTTAAGAAAGCATTAAACGGGGTTGGAAAAGAAAAGGACCCAAAAAGGTTTGAACTAATGACCTTTTAATCTGCAATCAAATGTTCTACCACTAAGCTATAGAACCTCAATTGCTAAAGAAATTCTCTAAGCTTTCTATAGAGGTTAAGAAAGCAAAACATTTGTTGGGTTTTATGTCCTAAAACTCATAGTTTGTAAACAAAAACATATTCTATTTTCAATAAAGTTATTATTGTTGTTTATTCAATAAAGATTGTTATTGAATAAAGTAAACTTTACGATCATTAATCTAAATCCAATAAACTAAGAACACTCTGGGTATAGTATGATTACTTGAACTATTTGTAGAAACATAAGAGTTGATCAAGTTCAAGTATATAGTCAAAATGATCTATAGTATCAGGATAAGGCTGAGTATCTTATTTTGGGGACACTATGGATGCGATCCACTTTTGTATATGATATAAACAATGTGATCACTAAAATTGTACATGTGGAAACATGTGAGTGGGGGCGTCCTATACAATGAGTATTGTATAAGATCGGACCATGAAGAAAATCACTCTCATTTTTTAATGTCGTTTACTGTTGAGACTGATTTTCTTTTCATTCGATGACCTAGGTAACTCGATCTTAAGCCTGAGCTAACCATGAACTCCTGTTTATTCGGAATTATCCTTAGATTTGTATGGGTGAGAGTGGCTCAAGTTCGCCGGCTCAATAGGTCTCCCATTTCAGGGGTAAGACTGGGTAAATGGCTGGGGACATGGGGTGTAAGATGGATTCATTCCTACCCACTTTTAGGGATAGAAGAAAGGTAGTTCCCTTAAGTACTGACTCTAGGTCTTGAACAAAGGGCCCCACCCTCTCATTGGCCTGAGAGGGATCCGGTTTACTGGTTAGACCACAAACCAATTGTTCATTAGAGGATTAGTGACACATAAGAAACAAGAAGTAACTTCAGGGGTAAAACGGTAAATTGACCCAGCTCTAGTTACGAACAACCTGTGAACGAACGACTTACTAATTAATCATGGTTATATCAAATGGACAGAAATATATCTATAGTGAGGGGAGTGCAACTACTAGGCTACAGTGGAATGTCTTAGTAGTTAACGAATGTTGGTTAACAAGGTTAATGAGTTTAACCGGTTAATCTTGGATCGTTGGAGCCCATGATCTATAGGTCCATTAGGTCCCTCTGCTAGCTCATATCGGACTAAACCATAGAACAGTGTGACGAGTGAGTTTGAAGTGTTCGAATTCAAATTAGGGAGAATGCGCTACATATATACGATATATTTAACCGCATTTTTGTTTTATTTACGAATTAAACAAAAAGAGAGAATCTGAGATATTTAAATAAGATTTAAATTAAACTATTTAATTAATATTAAATATTAAGTAAATAGTTTAATTAATCATTTAATATTACTTTAATTTGAAATTAATAATTCAAATTGACTGTTGAATCAAAATGAAAAAGTCAAAATGTTTGAGTTCATTTAATGGAAAATCCATGTTAGTGGAATTTTGAGGTTAAACCAATAAACCCCACAAGTTTGAGTGGAATTTTGAGTGTCAAAATTTGGTTAGCTCAAACATGCATGCTTGCCACATAATCCCAAACATTTGAGTGAAATTTTGAGTGTCAAAATTTGGTGATCTCAAATTTGCATGAACATGCAAACATGACTCTATAAATTGAGTGATCATGGTACATGGAAGGGGGTTCTTGTTGTTAAAAACCTTGAGAAAAACCTCTCACAAACACTCTCTTCATTTCTACAAAATCCCTCTCAAGTTTAGTCACTCACTGGATTCCACAATCCCGTTCTAAGGCCGGAGAATAGTAGAGAAGACACTTGTGGTGGTTCGAAATCGGTTCGTGAGGAAAAAGGAATTTGAACTACAAAAGGTTAGTATTCAAACTCATTAATTTTTAATACTTATGAACATGCTAGTTATTTACTATAATTGATGTTCTAAAAGTGTCTAAGATCCAAATTGTTGTTATATTAACACCTTCACATCAAATTGCTAAAAATATATTAACACTTTGGGAGTTCTTCAAACTTTAGCAGATGCCACAAAACTACTTTTTAAAGAAAATCTACTTCCATCTAGAGCTGATACACGTTTATTGAGTATCAGACCATCCATAGCAGTCATATCAATTTTACTAAGTTATTCAGTAATTCCTTTTGGTTATCGCATTGTTTTAGCAAATCTGCAGATCGGCGTTTTTTTAGGGATTGTCATTTCAAGTGTTGCTCCCATCGGCCTTCTTATGTCAGGATATGGATCCAATAATAAATATTCCTTTTTAGGTGGTCTACGAGCTGCTGCTCAATCAATTAGTTATGAAATACCATTAACTCTATGTGTATTATCAATATCTCTACGTGTGATTCGTTGAGACATAAACTTCTCCCCCTTTTTTTTTAGAAAATGGGTGATGAATAGATATCTTCATTTTTATATTCATTATTCAAATTAATAGTTATATGAGTGAAAGAAAACAGCTTAGATAAATAAAAATTAACAGGCAAAATATTGAGTCTCATTTTCTATGTATAAGAGTTAAGCAGAAATAAACATAGGCGCAAGAGAGCCTTTATCTCAAGATTGGTTGACCAGTTATCCGGTCTTGAAGCGGACTCAAAAGATTAATGGGATCGAGTTTTCACTATTATTTGGATGTACTAACATATATGTATTACCAGATTTTCCAAATTATCCAAAAGAGAGAAGGACATTTTTGCAAAATGTATCATATAAAAAGAATACGAATTGGGCTTTAAGTTTGTAGAAATGATCAGGCAGTACTCCCCACGATTTCGATCCAGAGTATGCGCCTATCCACCCATTAAATAAATAACTATCGGAAACGAAATAATCCCTTATTTAGTAAGTCCTCTTTTTCGGAGATCAGGCAGTACTCCCCACGATTTCGATGAGTATGCGCCTATCCACCCATTAAATAAATAACTATCGGAAACGAAATAATCCCTTATTTAGTAAGTCCTCTTTTTCTCCGAAAGAAGAATAGGAACGAACAAAAATTGAAAGAATCCAATTACAACAAAAAAAGAGATCTTTTGGAACAGCCAATTTGTTTCTCCATCTATTCCTATATTCATTTCTTTCCTATCTCCCTATTCATAGAGATAGAATTGGTGTCCGAATTCATGAACTAATGGAATAGCCAATTTGTTTTTTTCGTAAGTGAAAACGATGGGTTATTGATGGCCCTCAAGGAGTCGTATGAGGTGAAAATCTCATGTACGATTCTGTAATAGCGATGAGAACAGTGATGTTACTACCGACTATGATTATCTAACAGTTCGAGTACAGTTGATATAGTTGAGACTCAATCAAAGTATAGTTTTTGGGGGTGGAATTTGTGGCATTAACCCATAGGGTTTTTTATTTTTCTAATTTCTTCCTTAGCAGAATGCGAGAGATTACCTTTTGATTTACCAGAAGCGGAAGAAGAATTAGTAGTGGGTTATCAAACCTTCCTACCTTTTGATTTACCAGAAGCGGAAGAATTATTTTATGTTGCTTTCTATCTAAATCTGTAACAGCTTTTTACTTGGGTTGGGGTTTTTGTTGAGTTAAGAGGAAAAGAAAAGGGCCCAACCAAGTTCGAACTGGTGAACTCTTAATCAACAGTCAAATGCACTACCACTGAACTATGGACCCTCAATTGCTAAAAAGATTCACCCTCAATTGCTAAAAAAATTCAGCTAAAAAAATTCATTGGGCTTTCTGTCGAGGATAGTAAGCAAAACATTATAGTCGATCAAGAAAGGGGGTGGAAAAGAAAAGGGCCCAACCAGGTTCGAACGGGTGACCTCAAGAAAGGGGGTGAACCAGGTTCGAACGGGTGACCTCAAGAAAGGGGGTGGAAAAGAAAAGGGCCCAACCAGGTTCAAACTGGTGACCTCAAGAAAGGGAGTGGAAAAGAAAAGGGCCCAACCAGGTTCGAACTAGTGACCTCTTGATCTGCAGTCAAATGCTCTACAACTGAGCTATGGACCCTCAATTTCTAAAAAAATTCATTGGGCTTTCAGGTTGGAAAGCAAAACATTATGGTCGATCAAGAAGGGGGTGGAAAAGAAAAGGGCCCAACCAGGTTCGAAAGTGTGACCTCTTAATATGCAATCAAATACTCTACCACTAAGCTATGAACCCTCAATTTCTATAAAAATTCATTGGGCTTTCTGTCGAGGTTAGAAAGAAAAACATTATGGTCGATCAAGAAACGGGGTGGAAAAGAAAAGGGCCCAACCAGGTTCAAACTGGTAATGATCTGTAGTCAAATGCTCTACAAGTGAGCTATGACCCTCAATTTCTAAACAAATTCAGGTTGGAAAGCAAAACATTATGGTCGATCAAGAAGAGGGTGGAAAAGAAAAGGGCCCAACCAGGTTCGAACTAGTGACCTCTTGATCTGCAGTCAAATGCTCTACCACTGAGCTATGAACCCTCAATTTCTATAAAAATTCATTGGGCTTTCTGTCGAGGTTAGAAAGAAAAACATTATGGTCGATCAAGAAACGGGGTGGAAAAAATATGGGCCCAACCAAGTTTGAAAGTGTGACCTCTTGATATGCAATCAAATACTCTACCACTGAGCTATGGACCCTCAATTGCTAAAGGAATTCATTGGGCTTTCTGTCAAGGTTAGAAAGCAAAACATTATGGTCGATCAAGAAAAGGGCCCAACCAGGTTCGAACTGGTGACCTCTTGATCTGCAGTCAAATGCTCTACCACTGAGCTATGGACCCTCAATTTCTAAAAAAATTCATTGGGCTTTCCGTCGAGGTTGGAAAGCAAAACATTATGGTCGATCAAGAAGGGGGTGGAAAAGAAAAGGGCCCAACCAGGTTCGAACTGGTGACCTTTTGATCTGCAGTTAAATGCTCTACCACTGAGCTATGAACCCTCAATTTCTAAAAAATATTCATTGGGCTTTCTGTCGAGGTTAGAAAGAAAAACATTATGGTCGATCAAGAAACGGGGTGGAAAAAAAATGGGCCCAACCAGGTTCGAAAGTGTGACCTCTTGATATGCAATCAAATACTCTACCACTGAGCTATGGACCCTCAATTGCTAAAAGAATTCATTGGGCTTTCTGTCAAGGTCAGAAAGCAAAACATTATGGTCGATCAAGAAACAGGGTGGAAAAGAAAAGGGCCCAATCAGGTTCGAACTGGTGACCTCTTAATCTGCAGTTAAATGCTCTACCACTGAGCTATAAACCCTCAATTTCTAAAAAAATTCATTGGACTTTCCGTCGAGGTTGGAAAGCAAAACATTATGGTCGATCAAGAAGGGGGTGGAAAAGAAAAGGGCCCAACCAGGTTCGAACTGGTGACCTCTTGATCTGCAGTCAAATGCTCTACCACTGAGCTATGAACCCTCAAGTTCTAAAAAAATTCATTGGGCTTTCTGTCGAGGTTAGAAAGAAAAACATTATGGTCGATCAAGAAACAGGGTGGAAAAGAAAAGGGCCCAACCAGGTTCGAACTGGTGACCTCTTGATCTGCAGTCAAATGCTCTACCACTGAGCTATGAACCCTCAAGTTCTAAAAAAATTCATTGGGCTTTCTGTCGAGGTTAGAAAGAAAAACATTATGGTTGATCAAGAAACGGGGTGGAAAAAAAATGGGCCCAACCAGGTTCAAAAGTGTGACCTCTTGATATGCAATCAAATACTCTACCACTGAGCTATGGACCCTCAATTGCTAAAGGAATTCATTGGGCTTTCTGTCAAGGTTAGAAAGCAAAACATTATGGTCGATCAAGAAACAGGGTGGAAAAGAAAAGGGCCCAACCAGGTTCGAACTGGTGACCTCTTGATCTGCAGTCAAATGCTCTACCACTGAGCTATGAACCCTCAAGTTCTAAAAAAATTCGTTGGGCTTTCTGTCGAGGTTAGAAAGAAAAACATTATGGTTGATCAAGAAACGGGGTGGAAAAAAAATGGACCCAACCAGGTTCAAAAGTGTGACCTCTTGATATGCAATCAAATACTCTACCACTGAGCTATGGACCCTCAATTGCTAAAGGAATTCATTGGGCTTTCTGTCAAGGTTAGAAAGAAAAACATTATGGTCGATCAAGAAAAGGGCCCAACCAGGTTCGAACTGGTGACCTCTTGATCTGCAGTCAAATGCTCTACCACTGTGCTATGAACCCTCAATTTCTAAAAAAATTCATTGGGCTTTCTGTCGAGGTTAGAAAGAAAAACATTATGGTTGATCAAGAAACGGGGTGGAAAAAAAAATGGGCCCAACTAGGTTCAAAAGTGTGACCTCTTGATATGCAATCAAATACTCTATCACTGAGCTATGGACCCTCAATTGCTAAAGGAATTCATTGGGCTTTCTGTCAAGGTTACAAAGCAAAACATTATGGTCGATCAAGAAACAGGGTGGAAAAGAAAAGGGCCCAACCAGGTTCGAACTGGTGACCTCTTGATCTGCAGTCAAATGCTCTACCACTGAGCTATGAACCCTCAAGTTCTAAAAAAATTCATTGGGCTTTCTGTCGAGGTTAGAAAGAAAAACATTATGGTTGATCAAGAAACGGGGTGGAAAAAAAATGGGCCCAACCAGGTTCAAAAGTGTGACCTCTTGATATGCAATCAAATACTCTACCACTGAGCTATGGACCCTCAATTGCTAAAGGAATTCATTGGGCTTTCTGTCAAGGTTAGAAAGCAAAACATTATGGTCGATCAAGAAACAGGGTGGAAAAGAAAAGGGCCCAACCAGGTTCGAACTGGTGACCTCTTGATCTGCAGTCAAATGCTCTACCACTGAGCTATGAACCCTCAAGTTCTAAAAAAATTCATTGGGCTTTCTGTCGAGGTTAGAAAGAAAAACATTATGGTTGATCAAGAAACGGGGTGGAAAAAAAAATGGGCCCAACCAGGTTCAAAAGTGTGACCTCTTGATATGCAATCAAATACTCTACCACTGAGCTATGGACCCTCAATTGCTAAAGGAATTCATTGGGCTTTCTGTCAAGGTTAGAAAGCAAAACATTATGGTCGATCAAGAAACAGGGTGGAAAAGAAAAGGGCCCAACCAGGTTCGAACTGGTGACCTCTTGATCTGCAGTCAAATGCTCTACCACTGAGCTATGAACCCTCAAGTTCTAAAAAAATTCATTGGGCTTTCTGTCGAGGTTAGAAAGAAAAACATTATGGTTGATCAAGAAACGGGGTGGAAAAAAAATGGGCCCAACCAGGTTCAAAAGTGTGACCTCTTGATATGCAATCAAATACTCTACCACTGAGCTATGGACCCTCAATTGCTAAAGGAATTCATTGGGCTTTCTGTCAAGGTTAGAAAGCAAAACATTATGGTCGATCAAGAAACAGGGTGGAAAAGAAAAGGGCCCAACCAGGTTCGAACTGGTGACCTCTTGATCTGCAGTCAAATGCTCTACCACTGAGCTATGAACCCTCAAGTTCTAAAAAAATTCATTGGGCTTTCTGTCGAGGTTAGAAAGAAAAACATTATGGTTGATCAAGAAACGGGGTGGAAAAAAAATGGGCCCAACCAGGTTCAAAAGTGTGACCTCTTGATATGCAATCAAATACTCTACCACTGAGCTATGGACCCTCAATTGCTAAAGGAATTCATTGGGCTTTCTGTCAAGGTTAGAAAGCAAAACATTATGGTCGATCAAGAAACAGGGTGGAAAAGAAAAGGGCCCAACCAGGTTCGAACTGGTGACCTCTTGATCTGCAGTCAAATGCTCTACCACTGAGCTATGAACCCTCAAGTTCTAAAAAAATTCATTGGGCTTTCTGTCGAGGTTAGAAAGAAAAACATTATGGTTGATCAAGAAACGGGGTGGAAAAAAAATGGGCCCAACCAGGTTCAAAAGTGTGACCTCTTGATATGCAATCAAATACTCTACCACTGAGCTATGGACCCTCAATTGCTAAAGGAATTCATTGGGCTTTCTGTCAAGGTTAGAAAGCAAAACATTATGGTCGATCAAGAAACAGGGTGGAAAAGAAAAGGGCCCAACCAGGTTCGAACTGGTGACCTCTTGATCTGCAGTCAAATGCTCTACCACTGAGCTATGAACCCTCAAGTTCTAAAAAAATTCATTGGGCTTTCTGTCGAGGTTAGAAAGAAAAACATTATGGTTGATCAAGAAACGGGGTGGAAAAAAAATGGGCCCAACCAGGTTCAAAAGTGTGACCTCTTGATATGCAATCAAATACACTATCACTGAGCTATGGACCCTCAATTGCTAAAGGAATTCATTGGGCTTTCTGTCAAGGTTAGAAAGCAAAACATTATGGTCGATCAAGAAACAGGGTGGAAAAGAAAAGGGCCCAACCAGGTTCGAACTGGTGACCTCTTGATCTGCAGTCAAATGCTCTACCACTGAGCTATGAACCCTCAAATTCTAAAAAAATTCATTGGGCTTTCTGTCGAGGTTAGAAAGAAAAACATTATGGTTGATCAAGAAACGGGGTGGAAAAAAAATGGGCCCAACCAGGTTCAAAAGTGTGACCTCTTGATATGCAATCAAATACTCTACCACTGAGCTATGGACCCTCAATTGCTAAAGGAATTCATTGGGCTTTCTGTCAAGGTTAGAAAGCAAAACATTATGGTCGATCAAGAAACAGGGTGGAAAAGAAAAGGGCCCAACCAGGTTCGAACTGGTGACCTCTTGATCTGCAGTCAAATGCTCTACCACTGAGCTATGGACCCTCAATTTCTAAAAAAATTCATTGGGCTTTCCGTCGAGGTTAGAAAGCAAAACATTATGGTCGATCAAGAAACAGGGTGGAAAAGAAAAGGGCCCAACCAGGTTCGAACTGGTGACCTCTTGATCTGCAGTCAAATGCTCTACCACTGTGCTATAAACCCTCAATTTCTAAAAAAATTCATTGGGCTTTCTGTCGAGGTTAGAAAGAAAAACATTATGGTCGATCAAGAAACGGGGTGGAAAAAAAAATGGGCCCAACCAGGTTCAAAAGTGTGACCTCTTGATATGCAATCAAATACTCTACCACTGAGCTATAGACCCTCAATTGCTAAAAGAATTCATTGGGCTTTCTGTCAAGGTTAGAAAGCAAAACATTATGGTCGATCAAGAAACAGGGTGGAAAAGAAAAGGGCCCAACCAGGTTCGAACTGGTGACCTCTTGATCTGCAGTCAAATGCTCTACCACTGAGCTATGGACCCTCAATTTCTAAAAAAATTCATTGGACTTTCCGTCGAGGTTGGAAAGCAAAACATTATGGTCGATCAAGAAGGGGGTGGAAAAGAAAAGGGCCCAACCAGGTTCGAACTGGTGACCTCTTGATCTGCAGTCAAATGCTCTACCACTGAGCTATGAACCCTCAAATTCTAAAAAAATTCATTGGGCTTTCTGTCGAGGTTAGAAAGAAAAACATTATGGTTGATCAAGAAACGGGGTGGAAAAAAAATGGGCCCAACCAGGTTCAAAAGTGTGACCTCTTGATATGCAATCAAATACTCTACCACTGAGCTATGGACCCTCAATTGCTAAAGGAATTCATTGGGCTTTCTGTCAAGGTTAGAAAGCAAAACATTATGGTCGATCAAGAAACAGGGTGGAAAAGAAAAGGGCCCAACCAGGTTCGAACTGGTGACCTCTTGATCTGCAGTCAAATGCTCTACCACTGAGCTATGGACCCTCAATTTCTAAAAAAATTCATTGGGCTTTCCGTCGAGGTTGGAAAGCAAAACATTATGGTTGATCAAGAAGGGGGTGGAAAAGAAAAGGGCCCAACCAGGTTCGAACTGGTGACCTTTTGATCTGCAGTTAAATGCTCTACCACTGAGCTATGAACCCTCAATTTCTAAAAATAATTCATTGGGCTTTCTGTCGAGGTTAGAAAGAAAAACATTATGGTTGATCAAGAAACGGGGTGGAAAAAAAATGGGCCCAACCAGGTTCAAAAGTGTGACCTCTTGATATGCAATCAAATACTCTACCACTGAGCTATGGGACCCTCAATTGCTAAAGGAATTCATTGGGCTTTCTGTCAAGGTTAGAAAGCAAAACATTATGGTCGATCAAGAAAAGGGCCCAACCAGGTTCGAACTGGTGACCTCTTGATCTGCAGTCAAATGCTCTACCACTGAGCTATGGACCCTCAATTTCTAAAAAAATTCATTGGGCTTTCCGTCGAGGTTGGAAAGCAAAACATTATGGTCGATCAAGAAGGGGGTGGAAAAGAAAAGGGCCCAACCAGGTTCGAACTGGTGACCTCTTGATCTGCAGTCAAATGCTCTACCACTGTGCTATAAACCCTCAATTTCTAAAAAAATTCATTGGGCTTTCTGTCGAGGTTAGAAAGAAAAACATTATGGTCGATCAAGAAACGGGGTGGAAAAAAAAATGGGCCCAACCAGGTTCAAAAGTGTGACCTCTTGATATGCAATCAAATACTCTACCACTGAGCTATAGACCCTCAATTGCTAAAAGAATTCATTGGGCTTTCTGTCAAGGTTAGAAAGCAAAACATTATGGTCGATCAAGAAACAGGGTGGAAAAGAAAAGGGCCCAACCAGGTTCAAACTGGTGACCTCTTGATCTGCAGTCAAATGCTCTACCACTGAGCTATGGACCCTCAATTTTTAAACAAATTCATTGGGCTTTCTGTCGAGGTTGGAAAGCAAAACATTATGGTCGATCAAGAAGGGGGTGGAAAAGAAAAGGGCCCAACCAGGGTTCGAACTGGTGATCTCTTGATCTGCAGTCAAATGCTCTACCACTGAGCTATAGACCCTCAATTTCTGTCGAGGTTAGAAAGCAAAACATTATGGTCGATCAAGAAATGGGGTGGAAAAGAAAAGGGCCCAACCAGGTTCAAAAGGGTGACCTCTTGATATGCAGTCAAATACTCTACCACTTATCTATGGACCCTCAATTGCTAAAAAAAATTCATTGGGCTGAAAGGAGGTGGAAAAGAAAAGGGTCCAACCAAGTGACCTCTTAATCTGCCGTCAATTGCTCTACCACTAAGCTATGAACCCTAAATTGCTAATAAAATTCTGGGCTTTCTGCCGAGGTTAGAAAGAAAACCATTATGGTCGATCAAGAAAGGGGGTGGAAAAGAAAAGGGCCCAACCAAGTTCAAACTGGTGACCTCTTGATTTGCAGTCAAATGCTCTACCACTGAGCTATAAGTGATCTAGATTAATTTATTTATCCGTCGTATAAACATTTTTAAATAATTTTTATTAAAATATTAATATTTCTAATTTTTAAAAAAAAAATAAAAATATTAATTAACAAAAAATAGAAACAACTTAAGGGGTGTTTGTGTAATTTACCAAAATGCTCACTATTACTATTTGATGAGTCACAAACCAATAGAGAAAAAGAATGGTAATGAGTTGGCTCACATTTTATTTTGATATTATTTAATTTTATTTAATACTATTTATTTTAAAATTAGAAGTCTTTTCTCACCAAACTGTGAGGCATAAATGGTGACACGTGTACAGAACAGTAAAAAGTTAAAAGTTAATTTGGAAGATAAATAAAGACTTTGATGACTCATCATTCTTATCCTTTAAGTATTAATTATTTATTGAAAAAAAATGTTTTTTTTTTTTAATTTCATCACATTAAGAATAAGAAATGTTCACCACCATTAGCTTTTTATTTATTTATTTGACACAAGAACAATTGGCTTTCTCAATGGGGTAAAATAATAATAATAAAAAGATTCCATTTCAAATAAAAAAAGATTCCATTTCAAATAAAAAAAGATTCCAGGTCGGTCTCTACAACGGTAGTGTTATTCAAACAACATTCAATTTATATAACCTAGTCTAAGTCTAATTACTTTGTTGGCTTAATCACTAATTCCTGCATCGATATTCGGTTCATCCGGTTTGTCGAGATGTAAGTACTGAAACGACGCGCAAAATTCAAACCCGAAAAGGATCAGGGCCGGTGGTGGGCATTTGGTGAGCTTTTTCAATCCTCTCGAATCATAAACGGGAAAAGGCATTAGTTGACCGGCCTTAAGAAAGAAATTCTACATTCTCGATGGTTTCGCGACCAGGTTACCGGAAATGACCAAAGAACAAAAAAAAAAAGCCAAAATTACTTACGGTGTTTTACGATATTATAATTAAAATATTTTTAAGAAATGAAATTATCTAACTCCGATAATTAATCGAACTTAGCTCCAAATATTTTTAATTGGCTATACAATAGTCATACTAACTTAAACGCTCGTAAATACATTAAACATGGCTCTAAAATGGTCCAAAATAGTACAATAGCATCTAAACTTCAATTTTAGACATTTTAAAATTGGACTAGAAGGTAATGTAAAATGGTCCAACGCTTACGGGAGGTTACACTAGAAGGTCGATGTAAAACGTGGATCTTCATCTGACACAATTAATATTGGCACTTCGTGTAGAGTAACAATCTCCCTTATATATAACTGTGCACCATTGTCTACCGTATAGGTTGTCTTCCTAGGTAGGAAGTGAGCTATCTTGGTAACTTTGTTGATGATCACCCATATTACCGTGTATTCTTGTAACGTTCTGGATTAACCTTTGATGAAGTTCATTGCTATATTTTCCTATTTTTATTCGAATGCATTTGAAGGTTGTAACAACCTTGTTGTCCACTGCCTTGATGCCTTCACCTACTAGCATACCACGCATGGTTCACAAATATTCCAATGTATTTTTTATACTACGGCATCAGAAGTTTTGTTTCAAATTATTGGTAAATTTTAGTGCTACTTGAGTGCATAGAGAATGATGAATCGTGCACTTCCGTTCGTATCTCATCCTTCAATTCTTCACTCATTAGCAAACTTCTAACTATAACGAACCCTTGTGTGGAAAACGAGAGAAAAATCATGATAAACGTTGTTTAACTGACATAGGGGCACGCTTTATGTGTGGTAAGAACAATCATACACTAGAAAATTGTTTTAAGTACAATACTTCTGGCTCGAAATGACCCACAACTTCAGATCAGGTAAGTTCCAGCAATTAGACTCAACGAAAGGGTATAGTGTGTGCCTCCATTTGTAGGGTGGTTGAGGACACGAACGTCGTAGTGAAGTAGAATGTCTATTGTTGGTCACTACGTCATTTGTATTGTAAGATTCTACTCAACTCGTTCATTCATTTGATGCATTTGTGAGACAACTTTAGTTAGAACGAGAACCATTTGATGTGGAGAAAGTGAACGACATGTTAAATGTTAGTATCAGATCGTTTATTGAATGTGATACCACTAATAGTTGCAATCAGGGTTCTTTGATATCATTCTCAATACAAATTGGTGGGTCGAGAACCATGTCAACATTGATTACTACTACAAGAAAGTTGTATTCATGCAATGACGAGGGCAAAGCCTTTCAACCAATGTGAGGAACATCAGGTGCGTTGAAGTTATCGTGGCCTTAGTACCACTTGTTAATGGGTTTGTCGATGTTGTGAAAATTAAATACAACTTCTAATAAATTTAATTTCCTCATTTCATGTAACTACACGAAATTTTCTACCTAATTTAAGGTTACTACTATATACATATCATGAACATTGAATGCAGAAATACTTCATTTAACCTTTCATAAAATGTCGAAAAAAATTAATTATTCTTATAATCATGGTAACTTGAATTCTAAAAAAAAATTAATAAGTTTCATTTTAAAAAATAATAATAATTATACATCACTCGAAATAAAATCGAATACGGGACTGATTTTAATCCTTAGCCAAATTTCATAAACAAAAAAAATAGAGGAAAAATATTAACTGATACTAAATTAAATACAGAAATTCAACATATCAGCCAAAAATAACACAAGATTGATACTTAAAAAAATGATAGAAGGAAGAAGATGATATGTATAGAAATATATTAGCCAAGCGTTAGACTTGCCAAGAGGACGATTTTCCTCGGAGTAGTAGCAGTTACCTAAGCATTTCACCTGCATCTTCCTTTGAATTCGGGCCACGGCTCGATCTCGACACAAATTTTCGGTACTGAATTCTCGACAACACGTCGATTACAGCCTCTCATCATTTGCTTTGCTTCGGCTCGATCGAGAGAGAATTTTAGAGAAGTTCAATGAAGAACTTGTAGTAAAAGAATGGTACGTGTAAGGCTTGCCTTTATAAATAAAAATATTAAGAGAAAATTATTTTTTTTTTTAAAGAAATATGTAATTATGTTTAATTAATTGAGTGGGAATCTTAGGTGAACTATCTAATTGGTGGTCTTTTTAAATTTATTTATTTATTTTTTTAAGATTAATTAAAAATTAAAAGTGGTTCATTAAGGGTCCACTAAGGATTTAATTATATATAATTTTTTACATCTTAAACTATAACAAACCCTACCCATAAGCTAAAGTTGGTCGAGGTCGAGGCCATGGTTATGTAAAAGCTTTTCATTTTAAAGATTGTCATGATCAAAGCTAGGAGTTGAGGTCGAGGCTATAACCGTGCCCTATTTATATCAAGTAAAGTTTATGTTTAAACGAGGGTCATTTGATATAAAGATAAGAGGGTTTTCTGTATGTGCAGAGCACAGTACGATGAAAGTTGTAAGAATGGTCGAGGCTGAGCTTACGGTCATACCCTACTCATATGAAGCACTATTTATTGGAATCGAACTGATGGGCATCTCCCAATCGAGTAGGGTAGGTCCATAAGCTCGGTTAAGTTATCTCCAAGTAATTGTAATCGTCTTTATGTTGGAGGTGTTACTCCTAAGGAATCTTAGAGTCATCTCCATGCAATTTGACGAGATATCCTAAGGATAATTCACGATTCACCTTGGAGCATTTGAATCTGAGAAAACTCATAATCAGCTCAAAAGGTTTGATGAACCATTCTTAGGGTTATTTTGGAAGACGAAAGGAAAGTCACCCAATAGGGACTGAAGAGCAACATCTCGAGAAGACATGTTCAATTAGAGGGTTATACTCCCAAATTTGGTTCCTTATATCGAGACTATAACCACTCAAAGTACAACTATAATTCCAAAAAGACAAAATAAACCCAACAACGATCAAACTTGAGGAAACACAAGGGACTCGAGATCAAAAGGGAGGAATTGGATCGACTGCCAAGAGGATACGCGTCATGCATATCGAAGAGTAGGAATTGGATCTTTATTGCTTTTAATTTTTTATTCCCTCGTTCTCCTCCCCACCCAATGTGGGATATCACAATCCACCACCTTTAGGGTCCAGCGTCCTTACTGGCACACCGTCTCGTATCTCGTTGGCACTTGTTCCTTTCTCCAATCGATGTGGAACCTCCACCAAATCCACTTCATTTAGGGCCAGTGTCCTTACTGGCACACCGCCTCATGTCTACCCCCTTCAGGGAAGAGCCTCCTTATTGGCACATCGCTGGATGTCTGGCTCTAACATCATTTGTAACGACCCAAGCCCACCACTAGCAGATATTATTCTTTTTAGGTTTTACCTTTCAAGCTTCCACTTTAAAACGTGTCTGCTAGGGAAAGGTTTCCACACCCTTATAAAGGGTATTTCGTTCTCCTTCCCAACCAACGTGGGATATCACATTAATGTTCAAACCTTAGTTTTCAAACTTATTAAATTACATAGACCAAATCTTTAGGATAAAATTTTAAATTATATGAATATTAATTAGTATATGTTAAGCACACATAAAGGAAGATATTAATTATTATAATATTGAAAAGGAAAAAAAAATTATTATTATTAATGGACGTGAAGGCTGAATTAATTAAATCTTATAAACCAAAATTAGGCCATATCCCACAAGTGCTACTTTAAGTTTTCATTTAATTTTTTTTTTTTTTAAATATTCATTCATAACGTTTTTGCAAAGTAATAGTCCTTTTCGATATATTTATTAGATTAAATATTTCAAATATTTCAATAATATCCTTAAAATTTAAAAAAAAAATCTCAAAAATATTCTTATTGTTAATTTTAAATGAAAGTCGTTACTAATTTGTTTCAAAAATGCTCTTGAACTTTACAAAGTTTTATTAATATTTTTTAATTTAAAAAAAAATCAAAAATACGGTTAATACTATTTGAAAAAATACCCATAAAATTGTAAAATTAACGTTAACGTCATATATACATATTGTCAATATATGAACAAAAATAGTCTATCGACACGTCATTGATTATGTACAAACGTTTTAATGTAATTTTGAAAAATTCATGAATATTTTTTAAACGTCGTGCTAACATTTTTTGAAATTTTTAAAAAATTGAAAAACAGTATTTTTTTTTTTTAAATAAAGTATTAATAGTTTTCATTTAAGGGTATTTTTTAGATTTTTTAAATTTAAAGGTATAGTTGAAACTCGACACAAAAATACAAATTTCAAGAGTATTTTTATTTATTTAACTTATATTATTAATACAAAAAAAATTATAAAATATATTCGATATGGTATGAAATGGGTTCAAATTATTGTTTTTGTAACGAAAAGTTCAATACAATTTTAAGTTATTAATATTCGTAAAATTTTAACGTTTATTAACCGTTAATTCTTTGAACTCGAGTCTCCAATGGTAATGATTATAAACAGTTGAAATGAGAAACCAAGTTAAGGTGACAACAGGGATAAATTTCTCGACATAATTGATTGAAGAAAAAAATATAAGACGAACGATTTTTTCGTTCGTTGGTTCGTTATCTACTTATTCGATGTGTTAGATGAACACGACTCTCCACAATGGTATGATATTGTTCACTTAGAGCATAAGCTCTCATAGCTTTGTTTTGGGCTTTTCCAAAAGGCCTCAACCAATGGAGTTAGTATTCCTCACTTATAAATCCATGATCATTCCCTAAATTAGTCGATGTGAGACTTTCATCATCCAACACCTCCCCTCGAACAAAGCACGCCTCCCCTTAATCGAGGCTTGACTCCTTTGGAGTCTTAGTCATTTTTTACTGCCTTCGCACCTTCAAGGAAGCTTGACTCCTTTTTTCTTTTTAGAGTCTTTTGTACGACATTCGAGGATTTGCCAATATATTGGCATGGCTAAGTTTAGGGCATGATTCTGATACCATGTTAGATGAACACGACTCTCCACAATGGTATGATATTGTCCACTTTGAGCATAAGCTCTCATGGCTTTCCTCAGCCAATGGAGTTAGTATTCCTCACTTATAACCCATGATCATTCCCTAAATTAGCCGATATGGACTTTCATCATCCAACACGATGCACTATGCCAATAAATTTTAAAATAAAAAATAAAAATTGTGGTTCGAAATCCAATGGCCCGAATGCAACTAGAAAGTTTTTTTTGGGCTAAGTGGAAAAAATAAATAATAAAAATTAAGGAAAAAAAAAGTTGCTTTATGAATAATTGGGTCACCAAAATTATAAAAATGGTTTCTTCTGTTGAAACTGCTTTAATGATGTCATCAATGACGTCATAATGCTTTTGAGCCTTTTCCATTGTTTATCCCATTATTTGTGTTTTTTTTTTTTCAATAAAGTTGGAAAGGATTCGAGAGTAATTTTAAAATTATTAAAAAAATACTTTTATTATTATATTTAATAATTCTTTAATTATTTAAAATTAATTTAATATTTAATTTTGTCTTCTAATCATAGAAATTAATTTTAAAATTAAAGATATGTTTTGAAGTGATGATTTTAATCAATTTTAGTTTATTATTAAATTGTGTGATTAGTTTATTGTGTTTTTTTTTTTAAAAGTCAAACTTTTAAGTAAATTTAAAATAAAATAAAAAAAAAAAAAAGTGGCTTTATTTGCTACCTAACATTGGAAAATAAAAATAAAATAAAAACTTTAGTGATCCAAAATCACTTTGTGACAAACACACTCAAAGTAGGTTTAATTTATACCATATTCCTCAACTTTTGTATTTATCCTATTTTAATCTCAATTTTCTTTTTTAAAATTATGTTTTTTTTTTTCTGTATAATAAATTATCCAAAAATTTAAAAAAATCATAATTTTTTTTTTTTTTTTTTTGAGTTTCTAATATTTTGCTCAACAAAATAAGAAAATTGGCGACAGTAATATTTATATAAGTTAAAATTTTCAAAAAAATCAAATAGTTAATAGTGGAACGGTTCGATGAAAATCCCACGTTAATTTAGGGAATGATTATGAGTTTATAATTAAATAATAATATTTTTATTGTATGAGGTCTTTTGCGGGAGCCCAAAGCAAAGTCATGAAAGCTTATGCTCGACAATATCATACTATTGTGGAGAGTCGTTCATAAACTTTTTATCTAATTAGAAATGTTTTTAATGTTACATATTTGAAGCTTAAAGTAATTGTTTTAACCATTAGCCCAAAGCCTAAAATTAACAGATATTGTCTGCTTTTGATCCGTATCATTGAGGATTCCAGACCTTTATAAAAAAAAGGATGATTTTAAAACATGTTTGTTAGGTAGAGGATTTCCATACCTTTATAAAAAAAGGATGATTTTAAAACATGTTTGTTAGGTAAAATCTCGTTGTAAATGTTACAAATTTAAAATCAAATTTTAAAAACTCATAAATTAGAAGTAAGAAAATTACAAGTCTCAAAACCCACGGGATAGGAATAGAGAAAGAGGGAAAAAACGAAGATTTCACATAGTACTTTTGATTGAAAAATCAATCTGATTTATTTCGTACCTTTCGCTCAATGAAAATATGGGTCAGATTCTACCGGATCAAACCTATGGGACTTAAGGAATGATCGAAGGGAATAAAAAAAGAAAAAAAAGAGGGAAAAATAAGTAAATAAAAATGACGTAGAAGAGCCCAGATTCCAAATGAATGAAAACGTGACTAAATTGGTCCCATAGAAGTAAGAAAATTACAAATCTCAGTCTTTTGAGACGGCTAGATGACATAAACCATCACGTGCAGTTATTTTCTTTTTTAAAACAAGGTATCAAATCTCCTTTCTAAACCATAACGGGTCCTTTCATCGAATCATGTCATTTGTTCGTCGAATCATGCATGATCAAACAATATTTGTACAATAAACGTGACATATCATTATTTAGTTACCGACATGGATGGTACATAGAAGTCCTAGAAATCATTCAAGATTCGAGGTATAGAACCGAGTTTTAAGCCTTTAATTTCCTTCAACTGCAATCCCATTAGGGGGATGTTTTCAGCTTGGAGAGTTTTAAGGCTAATAGTTCCAAAGGCAAACATAAAATGTATTCCAAGACCATTTAATACACAAAATGATTGAATCAATACACAAATGATACATTTAAGTATTCACACTGCATTTTCTGCCACGAGATGGAGGGCTCGTTCGACACCGAGCTAATCGGCAATAGAAAAGCAGTATCTCCTCACCTGTAAGAGTTAGATGCATCGGATTGAAGTACTCAGCCAAACATAGAACTTGTGAGATAAAACTCCAAGAAGCAGTTAAGCAGGAAGATATTCTAATGAAAACTCAGTATTTCAGAACCCATTCATATCACTAAATATATGATGCTTTTCAGGGCTCGACGTGACATGATTTCTACTTAAGAAACAAACCAAAGAAACAGCCTAGATTATTGGTTGAATATCGAACACATCAACTATAGAACTGCGTGGGGTTTTGAGACCAATATTCATATCGATTCCTTAAAGTTATTTTTCCAAATAACTTGCACTAATTGGTGTATGGTTTAACTGCTCAAGCCCACCGCTAGTAGATATTGTCCTCTTTGGGCTTTCCCTTTCGGGCTTTCCCTCAAAGTTTTTATAATACGTCTGCTAGAAGAGGTTTTCACACCCTTATAAAGAACGTTTCATACTCCTCCCCAACCGATGTGGGATCTCACAATCCACCTCCCTTCGGGGCTCAGCGTCATCGCTGGCACTCGTTCCCTTCTCCAATCGATGTAGGACCCTACAATCCACCCCCTTTTGGGGTCCAGCATCCTTGCTAGCACACCGCCTTGTGTCCACCCGCCTTCAAAGCTCAGCCTCCTCGCTAGCACATCGTACGATGTCTATCTCTGATACTATTTGTAACGGCTCAAGCCCACCGCTAGCAAATATTGTCCTCTTTGGGCTTTCCCTTTCGAACTTCCCTTCAAGATATTTTTAAAACGTGTTTGCTAGAGAGAGGTTTCCACATCCTTAAAAAGAATGCTTCATTCTCCTCCCCACCAATGTGGGATCTCACATATAGTATCTGGGTGCATACAAGGTGCATAGAGGCAAAAGCTCCTCATCACTTCGCCATTGAATTCTTAATACCTTGAATCTTTAGCTAAGACTTGATAAAAAAAAATGGAGTCTGCCTCTTTCGGATCCGCATAGATGAAAGAAGATGGCAGTCAACAAGTGATTGTTTTTTCAGCTTAAATATAGGAAAGGAAAAGATTACTCAAAACTGAATGAAATTTAATGTGTTCAACTAGCTACCAGGGCATGTGACATCATCTAAATTCCATGTTCAAAGACGGTGTCAATGGTAATGATTAAAGATGAAGTGATCTTATAAAAAGAAACTTCAGAAATTACCTTAAAACAACAGCTGCATTTCTCATGGCCAAATACCTCTGAACGTACTCATTAGGAAGTGATCTTATGACCTTGAAGATATCAGCATTTGCATATCGAAGAGTAGTCCTGGGATCATAGTATGGTGCCTGAATAATAACAACGTCACTTCCTGAAGTGATTTCAAAAAGGGTATCTTTTTTTTTTCTTTTTTTTTTGAAGAGAACAAAGAAATTAATTGTTGTTCGAGTTTAGAAAGCAATGTTGAGTCATAAACTGCCAAAAGTCACATACCTCATATCCTGTTATATCACAAATTTTCTTGCATGGATGCATTGAGGGAGGTGACTCGATATTAACATCTGAAAAACGAATGAAAGGAACAATTTATACTCATTTAGTATAAAATTCAAAACTTTCAATAAGGGGTATAAAAGTATAAAATTCCAAGACTGCTTAGTTTTTTAATGTGTTATTGCCAATGAAAACATCAATACTCGTTAAGAGACCCAAAAACAGCAGATTTATTGCTCTCTCCTACTGGGTTGGTGCCTCCTTGATCAGAGGGAGGAAACTAGCTCCATCACACTAGTTCAACACACGGAAAAAGCTCAGGAAAGCAGAACTCATTTCATTGGCGGAAAAGGAAGAGCAATCTTGGAGACAAAAATGTAAGAAAACTATGGTTAGAGAAAGGTGACATAAACTCCAAATTTTTCCATCGTATCATGGCTACAAAGAAACGAAAGAGTACCATCATGGAAATTTTATCCACACAAGGCAGAAGTTGTTTAGTAAACGAAAAAGAAATTGTATCAGAATTTATGTCCTTTTACACGTCCTTATAAACAAAGGACAATGCCCTCTGCGAATTTCCCCATGATCTTGACTGGAATCCTATTGATCAACAGCAAACTGCCTCCCTCGAGGTATGTATATGTATATGTAGCCATTAACACAGTACATGTATGTAATATGTAGCCATAAATGTCATGAGCATGAAGCAAGACAGTTTATGGTTTTACAAAATGTTTAGGTATGAGAGTAGCTAGCCTTCCTGAATTTGGAAGGACTGTCAAGTATGGTGCTCTTTTGCACCCTTGGGCACACAGACATAACATAGTTAGTTCCTAAAAGTTTGGTGTCCACACACATTACGAACTGAGTAGGAGATCAAAATGGCTCAAAGAAAATGGGGGGAAAGAATGGAGACCATGGAGATGAAAATGCAAGAAATGAATGAGGAATTGCAAAGACTCCTACAAATAAAAAAAGTGATGGAACACCTTGCAAAAAGTGTGTTGAGGTGACGGTACTAACCACATAGCATGACATCCAATAAACTAATGCTATAATACTCCCGAAATAACCCATAATAAAACAGAAATCAATGGCGTACTTAGGGTAGGAGAAACAGTTGGTAGAAGAGGAGAAGCACACAAAAGGGAGAGTACATGAACCACCGGAGACCTCGAGAATACAGAAAGGAGAGAACCACATGGAAGAAAAAAATAATGAGCATCTAGATTGGAGTAATTTCAACAATGCCAATTATTTTTGTGAGATCCCACATTGGTTGAGGAGGAACGAAGCATTCTTTATAAGGGTGTGGAAACCTCTCCCTAGCAGATGCATTTTAAGAACCTTGAGGGAAAGCCCAAAGAGGACAACATCTGCTAGCGATCGGCTTGTGCTGTTACCATTTTAGATGAGAACCCAACAGATGGCTATCTCAAAATCCATCAATTTTTTAATTTGAAGAAGCTGACTGTGGTGATAGCGATACTTCATAGCAAAGCTCTACCTTGGTAAACAATCCATGATCAACTCTATCCCCTTTATGTAACTAAGAATCCTCTTTGCGAAGTTGTGGGATATAAAAATGCATAGGATTTCCAAGAAATCCTTCGATTTCTTCCGGAGCCACTACAAAGAAGTTCCAGGAGTTACAAAGGAAACTTCGAGGTTCAATCCACTTTTGTATCTTATTGAACAAAAGTGGTGATATTGTTCCTACATTGATCAAGAATTTTGATTTTTGGGAAGTATCATGATCATCCAATAAGAAAGGTTTCAATTTCTTCGCTTTCGTGTCTCTCTAAAATTGCAGTCATGGGTGATGTCTCTAGTACAAATCCAGGATGGCCCAGCTATGCCAAGGAATGGTGGTTTCATAATTGGCTGGAGAGTGTTCATTATGTTTCCAACTCTCCCTTCAGGGGGAGCTTGTGTGGGCGATTCTTGGCCATCAAGAAGAAACGATGTTGTCAAAGAGCATGACAACTTGTCAGGGAGATGCTTAAAGGAGCTTTCATTAATAATTGGACCTGGTAAGTTTACCAAAAACAGCTTTCACAACCACAAAAGCCACTATGCATTTCTTGTGATGCCCTTCAATTTGTCCCGTTGTTGGCTTCCCAAGCATTAATGAACCACAAAGATTTTGTTCTTACCTTTTTATCCAAAAATATGAATGAATATACAGGAACATGGATTGAAAAAACAGCCCAACAAAGGAAGCACCATAAGCTAAAAAATGAACTTCAATTCAAAAGAATAAAGCTAAACCAACCAATACAGAAAGACCATAGTCACCGAGATCAATATGGAGGCGTTAAACTTAATAATCTCCCGTAACTCCCCCACAGATCTCTCGCCTCTCCGAAAATTCTATGGTTCCTCCCCATCCAAATCCTCCAAATAATGGGAGGGAAGAAACAAGTCTTCCATAGAATGTTGCCTTTCCCACTAATAGGAGGAAACAACAATCCCTATTCCAAACCAAAGACATTTCAAAAGCTGCCAAAAAAGGTCCAAATCGACTAAGCAGTTTGGCAATGTAATAGCCCAGCCCACCGCTAGCAGATATTGTCCTCTTTGGATTTTCCCTTTCAGACTTCTTCTCAAGGTTTTTAAAACGTGTTTGCTAGAGAGAGGTTTCCACACCTTTATAAAGAATGTTTTGTTCTCCTTCCCAACCGATGTGGGATCTCACAATCCACCCCCTTCAGGGCCCAACGTCCTCGATGGCACTCGTTCCCTTCTCCTATCGATGTGGGACCCTCCAATCCACCCCTTCAGAGCTTAGCTTCCTCGCTAGAACGCCACCTTGTATCCACCCCCTTTGAAGCTCAGCCTCCTCGCTGGCACATTGCTCGGTATCTGGTTTGATACCATTTGTAACAGCCCAAGCCCAAGCCCACCACTAGCAAATATTATCCTTTTTGGGCTTTCCCTTTCGGACTTCCCCTTAAAGTTTTTAAAACGCATATGCTAGGGAGAGGTTTCCACACCCTTATAAAGGATGTTTCGTTATCCTCCCTAACCGATGTGGGATCTCACAAGCAACCTTTCCAAAGACACTTCAAAAGCTTCCAGAAAAGGTCCAAATCGACTGAGCAGTCTAGCAACCTTTGGAGATAAAAGATGACAAAAGCTTCAAATTTGCTTCAAACATCTATGAATTGGTAGAACTTTGATATTGCTCATCTTAGATGACCTTGTTTTTCTCCTCTTAACTTTCTACTAATTCAATATTATATCATATGAGTTTATAATCAACCAATATTACCATTCTAAATTGAAAGCTTTAAAGAACATAAACTAAATTTTAAAAAATGCTCCAACATCAAGAACTAATTCATACATCTAACCTATTAAATAATTATCAAACAAAAACATCGCATCCCAATCCGCACATCAACCTCAAGGTTTTTAAAAAACGTCTGCTAGAGAGAGGTTTTCACACGTTATAAAGGGTATTTCGTTCTCCTCCTCAACCGATGTGAGATCTCACAATCCACCCCCTTCGGGTTCCAACGTCCTCGCTGACACTCATTCCCTTCTCCAATCGATGTAGAATCCTCAATCCACCCCCTTTGGAGCCAGCGTCCTTGCTGGCACACCAACTCGTGTTCACCCCTTCGGGGTTTAGCCTCCTCATTGGTGCATCGCTCGACGGCTCAAGCCCACCGCCAGCAGATATTGTCCTCTTTGGACTTTCCCTTTCAGGCTTCCCCTCAAGGTTTCCACAATGCATCGCCTTGGGAGAGGTTTCCACACTCTTATAAAGTGTTCCGTTCTCCTCTCCAACCGATGTGACAAATAAATTTACAGACAAATACCTTAGGTGTAATCAAATATGGGAGAAACTGTAAGAGACAAAATGATTAAAACTGAAAGAGAGAAATCTTACAGTTGGGTTCATCAGATGAGTAGTTGTGATAATTCTCGGCTTGAAGAATTTGCTTCAGATGCTTCCAGTGCCTGCCTCTGGATTGACCTTTCGGATACTTCTCGTACATTTGAATTCGCTTGAAATTCAGGTGAGTCGGCAACACTAACTCTGCTTCTATCACCTCCGGCTCCATCGTCAACTTCTATTAACGCCTTCTGGTTTCTGAAATCTTTCACGACATTCAAAGGTTATGAAGAAATTTCAAAGAAACAAAGCTCTATAGAAGCATAAAACCCTACGCATTGCTCGACTCCATTAGCGGCCGGTTGAAAAATCTCCTACCTGTTATAATCAATCAAGACGACTGAGAAAATTGAGACGAACGATCTCCGATTTATTTAATTTCTTGAAATAAGTCATTTTTAATTTCAGAATTTAACTCTCAATTTTATTTTATTTTAGTTCATGTTTTAGAATGAGTTATTATAATTAATTTATTGTTATTTTTTTAAATTAAATTAATAAAAATACCCTTCTAATTTTTTTCTCAAAAATATTTTTAAACTTTCAAAATTTTAATAATGCCATTAAAATTTTAAAAAAATTAAAAAATATATCAAACTCTCAAACTTTTATTTTATTAATTATTCACGTACAACGAAAATAAACAAAGGAATGGTGAACGATTCGGAATCTGAATACAGCACTTATATGCACTGACATTCTCATGTGACATGGTCATGTTATTTACTCATCGAAAGTTCCTATGATTGAACCACCGAAAAAAAGTGCACATCGTTGGTATACGTGCTAACTTTCATTCCTTTAAGTCTCTTTTAGTCCTTCTATCCTCAGGATCATATCATTAGAATGTGATATTGATTCATTTATGAATCCCTCTTAAGACGTAACAAAAAACATGTATGAGTTCCATTAAACATACATTTGAGACATGGGTATCGTCTAATTTAGCATAAAAGTACGTTATTGTGTGTCTCCCTCAAGTTGTGCGTACTCCTTAAGGAGGCCAGGTCGACCTAAGTTGGCATCGACTTGGCGTGACAAGGGTGTGCTACCACATGTGCTGGGTCATGTTATATGTAAGCCTAACACATCTACGGTGTGTAGATGCGCCTCAGTTCAACCGTCTTTATTTCATCATCCATAAACATTACAAATAAGGAGTTTAAATTTATCTTTTCTCATACTCGTTTTGTTATGCAACAACTCTCACGATAAGCATACACAATCATCGGTAGTAAATGTAAAGAACATCGATCCCATCGAATCTTTATAGACTTTTTAAAAGACTAAAAAGAACTAATAACTTAATAGGTTACTTATTTACTAAAATTATTAATTAATAAAGATTGATTTGCATAGTTATACCTAATTACATAATAATTAATTAATTCAAATGTTTTAATAACTATAATTAATAAAATAGTATATTGTAATAATTATCATATTTGATAAAAATTATAATTATATCTCATTTAAAATAATTTAATCACCGTATTTAATTTTTGAAATACAAGATGTATAATTAATTTTTTTTTATTTTAATTAGTATCCTACTTTTTAAACATTAAAAATAAATTTTTTAATTAAAATCATTCATTTAAGAATTATTATTAAGACTATGGTTAAATAAATAAATAAATAAATAAAACGTAAAATTTAAACTATAATATACTTAAAAACTAAATTAAAATAAAAAGTTAAAATTTGTTTAATAAAAATAAAATATTGTATGCGAAAACTGAATAAAAATACTAACCCATTTTATTTAGAATGGGTCCGTTATACAGCAAATTTACAAGAATTTGCCTATCCAATCAAAATAAACCCTTGACCTCTCATTTTCTTCCCTCCGGCTACTCCTTCCATTCCCTTTCAGCAGCTCAGTGCCGCCGCAGCCTTCCTCCCAACGTTTTGGCACTTATTTTCTACTCTTTATTACTGGTACTTTCCCATTTTTCATCTATGTCTTCCTTTTTTGATCGCTTGAGAACTCAAACGAGGACAATAAATGAGTTGTTTTTGCTTATTTTTTTAGTAACAATTGCTGAATAGCAATGGAAAAGTAATCCTTCCTGGGAAGAATTGGGACTTCTCGAACTTCCGCGTGCTACCCTCTGCCTTTTGATTTCTTGCATGTGTCTGTCAATTTAGGGAATTGGGTTTTGCCCAATAAAGAAGGGAGGAAATTGTTTTGATCGACTGAAGAACTTCCTCTGCAGATTAGAGTTGGTTTGATGAGTTTATGAATTAAATTTATGGTCGTCTAGATGTATGCTGGCGTTTTAGGGGCTGTTTGTTAGGTTATGGAGCCTAATATCGTGTAGTTTCTTAGATAGAATCTTATCTATTCTCATATTTAGTTTCTTAGATAGAATCTCTTCTCGTATGTAGTTCTTAAAATGGATTATCTTATGTATAACTACGGAAGTCATCGATATATAAACTCCTAGTCGCATGAAGTTTTCTATCTCGGTGTCTCTACTTATATTTCTACTTGCATCATTTTTCTTTTGTTCTTCATTTAGATTGAGTGTGTGAGTTGTGCAATCCTCGCACTGTTCTCGACCAACTAGGAGGAGGAAGGAAGAACAAGTTTGAGGCTTATTTCCTTGATTCATTAACTTTTGTTTGTTGTTTCAGCTGAAAATGGAGGTCGATTCTGATGTTACCAAACCACACGATGATGCCGGGTGCAAGCCAATGGAATCTGATGATTTAAATGCACATCAAGTACTTCTAAGTTCCTTAGTTATTTTTTTTTTTTCTTGTTTCTCTTGTGAATGTGAAAATCCTTTCTGTTTACTCGTTAGGTTGGAGATATTAAATAAGCATTGCGTTTTACTTTCTTTATTATATGTATATGTTTGGATCATTTTTGGACCATGTTCCAATAATTTGTTGAGTGGTTGTCTTGATTTGCGTTTTTTTAATATTTAGGAGAAGGGTAAAGAAAAAAAGGAAAGTGTGGATTTGTTTAAGAACTAAATATTGAGTTATAATCTTATTTTTGTCTTGTTTCTTCAAAAATATGTACAATAAGAAAGTTGGAGGCTAGTTATGAGTTAAGAAGTATTGATACAGATACAAGACACGGATATGACATGACGCAGACATTGTGACACGTACTTTTTAAAAATCAAAGACACAAACACGACAAAGATACATTTATTAAAATGTATATCATTTTTACACAAGAAGGAAATTCAATGTCCGTAAGCTTGTGCATCTAAATGCTTAAGAATATGAATTTGATATATTTTGCTCTCAATGTTATTGTATGTCTATTAAGTATATTTAATGATCGATATGTGCCTTACAAATATTATACCTATAATCGACTTTGTACTACTTAGTGTTAATGAGTGTCTGATACGTGTCCCACAAATGTCAGTGTGTCCAATTGTTTGACCCTTGTTGGACATGGACATGCTAGCCAAACTAAAGTTGCCGTGCTTTTTAGGTTATAAGATTTTAAAAAAGACATTGGGTTTTACTTTCTATGTGTGTTTGTGTGATTCGGTCCGTTTCAACTGCCTTGTTCCAATAATTTGTTAAGAACTCAAGATCTTTTCTTGATTTGTAGTCTTTTTGGTATTTGATATTAAGGATAAGGGTAAAGCTAAAGAGGAGCTTGCTGATTCAATTAAGAACTTAAATATTGAAGAATCATCTAGGCAGGCAGGGTCTTCAGCCACAAACTTCAGGCGAAAACCAGTTATTATCATTGTCATAGGAATGGCAGGTAATTTTCAATGAAAATTCTTGTCGCTGTTGGAGTTTGGATGCATATTAAATATTTGAACTTATTTATGGTTTTTACCCCATGGTTTATGATGTTTGTCACTTCCAAAAAGTAAAATTAATAAATCCCCTATTTCATGTGGGATGGACACACTTCTGCTAGCTAGTTTTTTGAGTGTACCTACCCATGTTCCTTCATTTTTCTCGAATCTCATATGGTGTGCCCAAGACCATTTAGGTACTGTTGAACTTTTTCTAGGACCAAATTGAGGAGGTTCTACCTGGTGAGGTGGGGTTTTGTCACCGTTTCCAAGGAGCTCAGAAGCTCGAGCGTAGGAAATATGAGTGAGTAAATATTGCCTCCTTCCTAAAGGGATCTGGAGGTTCCATTAGGACTCGAGGCTCCTCAGTATAAGGATCATGTTAATATAAAACAGTCAAATCTCTTGGAAACTTCTTAGGCAATCTAAGGCCCGGGTTTTGATATCATGTTAGGTTTTTTATCTTCTTTTCCACGCTTCTAAGTGTTTTCAATATCTTCTGTACGGTTGAGGCTAGAACGAAATAGAAAAATGATACAAGATAGATAAGAGAGTTTTAGTGAGTTATAAAGCAGAGGTTTTATAAAAGGAATATAGTGTGGAAAAGAGCTAGTTTGTTTGTTTATTTAGAGATATACATCTTTGTCTTTGGAGTTGATTGTCTTTGTTCTACAAAGGCTTGTTTATTTCTTCTTGTTCTTGTATCATTTTCAATTGTAAAGAGGAACAATTTAGTGGCGCGCTTGGAAGATAAGTCATTGTGCATCTGTAACGGATGGGTAGATTTGAGATAAATTTGGGTTCATGGGTTCTTGCGGTTTAAATTAACATCTCCTTGAAGAAATATTTTAAAGGGTATCTTCACAAGTTGGTAATTTAGAGATCATAAAAGATCTGCAATATCAGTTTCTTGCTGATATAAAGTTGATATGAAGTTTTTGGTTTGAATAAGATTGTTTTACAAGTGGTGTTTCCCAAGCTCGTGATTTGTTTGTTGTCCCAACTATTGAGTTTGCTGGGTTACACGAAGTTGCTGGTTGTTTTAATGATTTATTTGATATTTGGAGCGGAAGACATCGCAGAGTCCTTGAGATGGTCATGAGTTTGGTATTGCTGTTTTGGATTGTTTTGCTAGATATATAGCAGGATCTTGAGATCTAATTGTTGGGAAAAAAACGGCTCGTTTGCTCGCTTTTGGATCTTTTAGTTGGTTCCCTATTTGTTTCATGTATTTAGTTTTGTTGGTCGTTTTTCCATGTAAGCTCTTGCTACTCATTTTTTTATTTTTCATTTCATCAATGAAAACTTATGCTTCCTTTCGAAAAAAGAATCTCTGGGATATTATGTAATAGCCCAAGCCCACTGCTAGTAAATATTTTCCTCTTGGGCTTTCCCTTTCGGGCTTCCATTCAAGGTTTTAAAATGTGTTTGCTAGGGAGAGGTTTCCACACCTTTATAAATAATGCTTCATTCTCCTCCCCAACCAATGTGGGATCTCACAATCGACCCCCCTTCAGGGCCCAGCATCCTCGCTATTGTAAATTGTCATAAGTTTTGATTTGA